AAAAGTCTTCTCAGCGTGTATCCCATCCATGTCCATTTTTATCTGCGCATTTGTTGGGCATTAGGGTTGTTGTTTAGTTCGTTGCACCTTGGAGCTTCTTGTTCCGAATCCTTCCCGGTTAGTTATGTGGTCTTTAGTATGGAACCAGTGGGGACAGATGTTGGTAATGCTGGCGAACTATACACGTATTATCCTCTACACGACCGATGATGCTAACTCTCGACTGAAAGATGAAGTACGCAGGCTAACCACTTCAAATTGTATCTACCAATTGAACTGCGCTTATGGTGGAGTCAGTCATATCGGCCGTTGCTCTAGGAACTTGACTTTTCGTTATGGCTCGCTTGAGAACATCTCCCACTATGGCTAAGTAAAGGTGTAGTGAAAACTATTAACACTTCGATATTGGACCATCTGGTGCAAATCGGCCACAAAGCCAGCCAATGTTGAATAATCCTTCACCATAATCTACCGAGTACCAAATAAATTACCAAAAACATCCAGCAACCATATGCTCCAGACAGCAGAGGCTATCGTAAATCATGTGAAACAATCAGTGCTTTGTGTGCAAAAGAAGCAAGTCCAGCCAGCCACTACTGCCCTGGCCAGCCTTCAGTAGAGACTATAAATTCATGAATTTGTAATATTGTCTTTCCTAATTTTTCTGACATTCAGTTTATTTTTATGTTGATGCTATTGAGCTGTAATCTATCAGTATTATGGATTCGATGTTATTTTAACAACATTAATGTTGTTCATAACACTAATTCATTCATTCATTCACTATAATGGATGGATATATAACTGTAGAGCCTGATGAAGAAGAGGTTATCGAAAAGAGTATTCTTTGTTCATTATCCATTCTTTTGAAGAGTGATCAACCTGTTGGAAGCACTTTTGGTGATGCACTTTTCAAGTCTCTGAAACATAAAAAAAATAGCTGACTGATTTAACATTTGCGTTGAAAATCCGGATCTTGTTCCTCTATGTTAAGTGCAGTGAACTTCCACGCTGATGATTTCAGAGCAATACCATATCTCTCTCACCTTTCTAATCCATCTTGACTGACGTTGACATCTTCATCCATCCGTGCTGTATCACCTGTAATTGAAACAATGCTATCTAGGATATCGGAAGAGAGGTGACTTCCTGTAGATTGTTACGGTTGATGGTCATTAATGCTTGTTGTTGTTGTTGTTAATAAGTCGGTGAGCGTCTTCACCACCTCTGTCTTCTCAAATATATTCACTCGAAATTCTTCCTTGCCTTCGCTGATAGGCTCTACTGACTGACAACTCTTGCTTGGTTTTCGTCTAGCCTCAGACGACGTTATTTCATATGTGGTCGAGAATTGTAATTAGTAGCAAATATGTCACAATTTCTGTCTTTCTTCCCTGTCTGAAAGTAAAATAGGGGGAGGTAAATAACCATCCTTTGAATCCTCCTCCAGACAAGGATGCATATTCATTCCTTGGATATCGTCCCTCATTTATCTATAATCACTAATTTCCTTATGTATATTATTGTTCAATAATAATAATAATAATATCTTTATTTTGGACAGTATTTATAAAATGTACAGAATTTCCAAAGGAGTTTATTTTCCCTGGTGCAATATCTTCAAGTAAAATATTAATTGACAGTATATCCCTCCTGTGACAAAATGTTCTAACCATTCCGTTATGAGATATATCTGCTTTGTTTCCTTGAAGAAATCCACGATATCTAGTTGAAAGTCAATTGTAAAAATGTTCAGAAGTATATTTCAAGACTCAGGGATATGTAACTGAAGTACAGTTATCTCATGTATTGATTGGAACACGTTGCCACCCACACACAATCAGGCCATTCCTCAAGTTTAGTAACAAAACTACGAATCAAGCGATTGTAAACATTATAAATACACACAAGAGTAGATAACACCAATAGAGGTCATATATCTTAGTCGATTAAAACAAACTGAATGAGAGAAAATACATGCAGTAGCGAGAGATGGGAGTTTTGGGTAGCTCAAGTTTTAAGCAGGCAGGCCGCCAGCAGGGAAACACTAAGAAGACGTAATTTGCCTGAATCGTGTATCGTACTGATAACAGTTATTCTAGACAAGTTCATTAGAAGATATAAAGTAGTCAAAACACCAAGATCCACTTTCCAACTCGTCCTTAAGAAAGAAAGATGTGTACATAAAGCTACTACCTTAGAGGGGTATCACAGCAACTTGACAACTAGACAAAGATTGAACGCTTTTGTTAAAAAGACTTTTTGTTTAGCTAATATCATAATAACTGAGAATGTGAAGTTGATATATCCATCTCAGCCCTTTGAACATGCGAAAAATGACGTGACATCCCACTGTATTTACCAATTTGAATGTACGTGTGGACACATTATACATAGGGAGGATTCATCAATCTCTGCAAGTAAGGGCTGTCTTCAGAGCATATTCCTAAATGGCTCCAGAAACAAATAGAATATTCAGAACCCATTAATGGTGAGAACAGGAGACCTAGATCCTATACTGAGAAACATATTATAGAGACAGGACATAAAATTGACGTTAATACATCTTTTAAACCTATCTATGAAAAGTGTCTGGGGCGTATCTTAAAGTTTGTGGAAGCCCTAGCCGGCAATTAGGAAGTTTAAACCACCTTTATGCGTTCGAGGCAAGAATTCGTTATCACACTAAACCTTCCTTGGTAAATTTTGTTTTGATACCAGTCAGGGTAGATGTACTATTACCTTTGTTATTTGGTTTAGTGATCTTCATTGTTATTTTGATCTTCAGTGTATCCTTTTAACTTGACCTAATTGGTCTATTTTCTCACCTCTAAACTCTTTATTAATTTCATGCATAGTATTATGTTTTATTACATTTTGTGAGGTGCACCTTTTGGTGCGCATATTCCACGAAGTCAGTGTTTTGAATAAGCAAAATAATCAATAATAACTAAACAGCACCAAAGAAAATCAATGACAGTAAATATGGCTTATATATGAGAAGGCTTTGAGGTTTACTACAATAATTATCCTGATAAATTATTAAGTCGGAAGAATGATATATTCATGACAAACATATACAGAGAAAGACGATAACATCAACAGTAAGAGATTGAGAAAATATCAGTAATGCCTCCCCCATACAAAGAAGGAACCTCAGAAACCATCAAAATAGAATTCTTAACATTGCAGGCAGGAATAAAAGTGGCTGGCATTCAAATCACATCCACAAACTCAATTAGAAACATGCTTTGTCGGTTAAAGGATAAATCCTGTGGGACCAATTCAACAAAACAATTTAGTTTATCTAATCCCATGCCTGCAATGATTGTCAGGTGAAATGCATAGTAGAACAGGGGCAGTCAGTCAGACTAGCGGAGCTCAAAAACCTAGCAAAATCTAGATTGGTTGACCCGAATAAGAAAAGAAATCTAGAGAATAGTGTTATGTACTCGTCGCTCAATTATTGTTATGGACTGGTCGAGAAACTAATAGTCCTGACGCAAGAAGGCGGAAATCAGAAGACCACTAGGTTTGCGATGATACTTCTATTTTCCAAACACAAGGAGAAGCAATAAGTGATATCACACCAAAGTAAGTAAGTAAGTCACACAAATTGTGAGAACGAAATATATATATGACAAGGGTGTGAACAATCATTAGACAGTCTTAACATGAATGGCTAATTATAATGGAGTATCGATCCATATATACATAGCGAAATATAGCAGACATGTCAACAACCACCATGTATGGATACATGTCACCAAGCAACGGACTGTCAACAAACACTCATATTATATAATATAAGGGGAATATACATTGTTAAAGGAGACAGGTTCATACAAGTGAAATGGTCACAGACTAAGCGAGCAAACAGAAAGGGAGACCAACATGCACACACACACATAAATATATATGTGGATACATATCAAATTGTTCAGCTATACCACTCACTACATGCAGTTACACACAACCATACAATAGGCTGGACGGGATAAGACGACAGTTTTAAAATCTGATGTAACAGTGGGGTAGAGGGAGAGATTGATTGGTGACGGAAGCTTTGTTTATCAAATCAACTGCAAACACATGTATTACGAATGATTCAACACCTGTCCAGCTGGACATCTGGAAAATTCTACTACCCCTACGAGGAAAAATAGGAGAGAACAAGAAAGACTACAAAACTCAAGTTTCAAAGTCGTGGGATTATAATTGATGGCATGATTATGAACCACAGTGAATTGTGTTCGAAACCGTGTCATCCAGTAAATAATACTGTTTCACTGACTGTGTGATATATATCTAACAAACAAATTAATAGGTGATAATTATAATTGTTGTGAATGTTCTTTAACCTTGAAATTGTAATCAGAACTTGACCCTGACTACAAATATACTTATTGTTATTATTATTATTATTATTGTCATTTCTTAGGAGTTTCAAGCAGAACTGAATCAAAGTCACCCGCTTCATTTTGATGAATATCGTGATGCTTTGAAGACTATTCAATCATTAGACACAAAAATCAATAGCCTATATGATATACTGAAAAATCAATTTGATGCTGACGTGATGGATACTTTGAAATTGAATCAAACTACATTGATGCGTAAATTAGAAGAAGATCTTGAAAAGTATCTGGGCGAATGGAAGACATTGAATGATCAAGTGGACAGTACTCACAAAGCTACACATCAGTATTTAGAGCAGGTACAAGAAATTGAAGGCAAACAATCAGGGATACGTAAATTGCTTACAGAGCTTGAACAGAAAGCATTAATGGGACCTGATTCTTCTATAATGATGGAATTGATTGATTTAGAGAAAGACAGTGCCACAATGACTTACTCATCATTTCAACAGTCTACTAATGATGCAGAGCATATTCAAGAGGATGCAATTGTTGCTGAAACCTTTGAGAAGCTTATAACAGCTCAAAAGAATATTATCAATTGGTGGGAGGTAGGTGTTATGCGTTTAGACTCGAAGTAGTGTTGTTTTATAGAAAACCTTATTATTGTGTTGTTAGATCGGTTAGAGGCAGTCGGCGAGAAGCTCCACTTGACCTTGGGTTTTGTGCATTCGGCACTCATTACCAGTCAGTAGGGTGTGCCTATTCCGACCCATATCATCGAGTGTGGCAGTCAGAGACACTGCCACTCAGCTATTTGGTCTCGCGAATGACCTCCTGTAGGACTGTGGTGGATACTTTGATTGGACTCTACAGCAATACTCAATCGTATTGCGAAGAGGCAGAAGTCAGGATTCATTGGCCACTGGATTCCACCACCCGTCACCTTGGTGGTTGTATGTTCAACGGGCTAGTCTTGCGACCTGAAGATCCTGAGTTCAATCTCTCGTCAAAGCCCATAGCTGAGTGCTGGTGAAGAGTCTCAAACCCAGAGATTGAACGTAACAGATATTGCAGTATTCCCTGGTCTTCAGTATTATTCTAACTGATATCAGTTTGGGATCAAATATAGCCTGCTGGTAAAGTTTATTACTTCAGTGGCAGTCAGTTGGCATTGGATGCTACGAATTCGAACATCCAGATTCCAGGAAGCTGAATTACCCTTTATAATTTCAAGTCATTTACATTAAAATCTAGATGGCTGGGTGTAATAAATTGCACTTTACAATTACGATTACTCGTAAGATTTCGGATGGCAATCAGAGGAAGTGGAAAATACAAATATTTAAAATCACATACTACTGACTGACCGACTGACTGGTTGAGATGATTAGCTGTACACTACTCACATCAAACCAACCAGTGGTTCTTGACAGACAGACAGATAGGTCTAACTGATCTAAACATACGACCACCGGGTCACTCGACCCATCCCCTCCACCCCAGGAAGCGAAATGGCCGTCAAACGGTGTTTAGACCACTTTGATCTGGCTAACAAGTAATACTGCTTAGTGTGAGTGGCATCCGTCTACTTATATCGATAAATCAGTAGTATACATTTTTATACATTTACATCGAGATAAAAATTAATTTGGAGTAGTGTTCACATCATTAAACAATGATGAATTATCAAAATTGTAACCAGGTGGGGATGGGGAGGAGTTTAGATTAAAGACTACTTAATATGAAAAATGTTCAGATAGCATTGGATGGTAATGAAAGAGTGCCAAAAATAGTACTAATGATAACAAAGTATTGATAACTATTCAGCTTGGAATTATACCCATGTTAGAAGAAGGGGATGGAGAGATTTCTTCTGTGTACATACATCAGGATTAACCATCCGAATTGCTAAAGCCTTAACAAGACACAGTGCACAGTAGCCTAATGTTTTCGGGAGGCTTCTTTTGACATCAAGGATAACTTTGAATGAATTCTCCATACATGCTGGGTGGTCAGTGATCCACTGCTACGTTTCTGTAGCTAAGCGGGATAAAACACTCAATGAACGATATATATGTATCTCATTCCATAGGAGCAAATGAATTGGTGGTAGATAAACATAGAAATGGTTAAATACAATAGTTTGCGATTGTATTGATCGGTAAGTGAATGAATTCACCCGTGAAGAGAGACTCTTAGTTTAACCATTTGTTCTTATTTCCATGTTTGTTTTTACCACTATGCATTTACACATTTTGATTGATTAATCGCCAAAAAATGACAACCCACATTCAGATGTTTACTAAACAACTGGAAGAAGAAATCCCCAAGGTGAAAGAAGATATCAAAGCAATCAATACAATGGCTTTCCCATCTCCAACTGGACTTTTAAACCAATTATTACGTGTAGAGGAGATTTCGGTTAAAGCTCATGTAAGCGATAAAACAAAAATGTGTGTGTACTTGTTTATTTGTTAAATCGTTTTATTGAAAGAGAGTATATCAATACGATGTAGGAAGTATCCTCAGTGTAGATTGTTCTTCCGTTTGATACTGAGAGCAGGAAAATAGGAGCAGGCGTGATAATGATAACTAAGTTTTAAGATTGTCTGATTAACAACCAATCATAATAATACAGACATGGACCAATGACGTGTATGCTTAAGAAATCGATTGGTTGTCTGTCTGCCCATCTGAGATAAATCTGATTGGTCCATTTTCTAGATAGGCTATCGATCCACACATCACTGGGCAAGGTCATCAATGGAGACAGTAATTATCATTCACAGAGAATTTTAAAAAATACTGAACTGAAAATGCTGTCTAGAAAGACAGTCAAACTTTCGTAATTAAGCCAGCCAGCCAGCTCAGAGTAACACGAATTTTTCGCCAGTTGTCATCCTCATCTGAACTAAAACTCTTCTATATCATTTCTAAATGAATATTCTCAAGTGATCTGGAAAAGTCAATATCTAGTAAAAATGAGCTTTGTATTCTTGTTTTTGAGAGAATACACAAGCGAAAGCCTACACATTCAAACAGATATCTGGATTATATTTCGGTACATCTCTCTCTTTCTCTAAAATAATTGTGACTAGGAATCTGACTAACAGAACCAAATATCTAGTTACTGGGGGAAGAAGAGATCAGCAGAAAATTAAACTTTTGTTCGGTCTCTTCGTGAATCAAATACTTACCCAAAGTCTTTTTAAGATGGTATTTAACACGTGAAGATAAGGAAGCATCAAAACCCACTGAGCTAAGAATTAGGTTAGTTAATACTGTGATGATTCCTTATAGCATAGAAAAATTTCGGTCGAAATAGTGCGAATCCATAACAATCATGACATAAGCGTTTGTTTTCGTGCAACGAACACTTTAAGGATAAAATAGAAGATAACCAACATAATTGTGTATACCAGATAAAAACTGTGCGGAAGAAACTTTCAGATAGGTGAATGTTAGAGTAAACGAGCATGAATATTTTCTGAAGGTCTCTTCAGATTTGAAGGAGGCTAGAAAACAGACCGAGGATTGCACTACACTCGATAGAAACGCGACACCAAGATCCAAATTGATATATATATATATATATATATATATATATATATATATATATCCTTAACGGTTTCGTAGCACATCAAATCCCGAATGCCAGTGACTGCATGCAATGTGTAATGGATGAGACCCTACGTAAGATTCTTAATAAAGCATGAATTTGTGTGGCATTCAAACCTACCAACTCACTCAGGTAGGACAAGCTCTGTAGGTTAAAGGACCCTGTCGGTTGACCCAATTAGACAAAATAATATAATTTACAAAATACCCTGAAATGACTGTGATTGAGGTCAACTATATAGAGTCAAACTAGTAGATCGGGGTTAATCAGATTATCGGAACATAAGAATTTAGCTAAGGGAAGAATGGTTGACCCTTCGGAGACACGTGAGTAATTTAGAAGAAAACTGGGAAGTTGCACTGCATGTATTAACACAAAACTACACACTAGGATGGTAGGAGAGGGTTAAAATTCCAATAAGCAATCTAGGTAGGTGGAGATGGAGACAGATTGATTACTGAATTCCGTCTGGTTCATTGAGTCTACACCCAACACAACACATGCAACAGAAGTGGCTCAATGCAAATACCAGAGATATGCATGGGAGATATTATTACCACCAGTCAGTCAGTCAAATCAGAGGAGGATAATAAATAATCTTAAAATGCTATTTCAATTCAATTCAAGCACATCGAAACATTCTAATAAGTTACTTATTTTGACTATAAAAACACTCATCTTATTTCCCGTCTGATTGTATTTGATCAATAACACTCGTATTATTATTACTTCTGAATGTACATTATCCCATATTGATATTGTGCTTGAAACGTGGTCATCAGTTAATATTACTGTACAACAAATACTGTGTGATTTATCAAAATAAAATCTTATCCATAATGGAGTTATACTCTACCAGCACAGTGCCCAAGTTGTATACTTATATCGATGTGTTGGATGCATTTCTAACTTCATTTTTTACAAGCAGATGGGTGGTTGTTCAACTTTACGGCATGAATCACACTTGTGTAAAAGTTGGTTCCTTTTCTTATTCTTCGTATTACTATTATTATTCTTTCTCTCTGCTAGGAATTTCTCCACCTAAATCAAGAAGGTTTAACCTCTTTAAATGACATTATCAAGTCTTGGCATACATGGCAATATTGGTGGACTGTTGAAAGTAAAGCCAGTGATATTTTAACACAAGGTGGTGGTTGTGGTGGACCGTGCAGTCTGGTCAACAGTACAACTGCATTCAACAACAACGGAAATCTTGACACAACTGAGCTGATTACTGTACAAGAACAATTAAAACGCTTGACTGAATTAAATGAATCCCAAGGAAAGATGAAGTTAATTGATTTAACAGATAAATTAAATCTTCTTCAAGTATTCAGTGAAAAATTAAAAAATCCAATCATTCATTGTATTATTTCACAAAGCCATCAGCACCATCAACAGCAACAAAAACATCCTTTACCAAATCAATTAAATCAATATCATCAAACAACACCAATACAAATGACTATTGTATTCATTCAACGGTTAATACGTCTAGCCAATCATCAATATTCATTGATTTTTGATGATTTACCCTTAGCTATTGATCGGTTAACTGGTAAAATTACAGTAATCAATAATTTTTTAAATGAATACAATCAATTCACTCAAATTCTTAATGATAATGAAAAAGCGATTGAAAAGTTGGAAATATTTTTTAAACTGCGGGATAATGGTAACAATAGCAGCAATCAAGTTATAAATGAGAGAAAAGAGAATTCTTATCAGATGTTACAATTATTAAATATTGATTTTAACAAAATGACAAAGGAGTATTTTGAAGTCAATTTTGAAAATTTACTATCTATTTGTAATGGTAATCAATCAGTTCGATGGAATGAATCAATTTGTATTGATTTTTTAAATCAATTAACAATATCAGTTAAATTATTGTCTAGAACGACTCAGGTAAGTTGTAAAATATGGTCGTACATATATACGCATATCTATTGCAGATTCGGATCAATATATCAGTTGTTAGACTTCATCAAAAACCAGTATCAGATAGTGAGAGTATTGAAAAACCAGCGAGCTGTAGACAGTTGTTTCGCCTCAGTTTGGGGCTCTTCATCAGTATGCACCCATGATCCCACGAAGGGTCAGACCTGGGGCCTACTGGATGCCAAACAAACTCATGGGGCATTCAGCCATTAGGACCCCGATTTAATGGCTATTCTAAGAATTCCAAATTTTACCAATTCGTGAATTTAATGCAATTTATCACAGGCCAGTTTGATTGTTGAGTATTTGTTCTCACGCCTGACTCGTTGGAACCCACTGGGGCTTGGGTGCACACCACCCTGAAGAGCCCCAAACTAGGACGAAACAGCTGTCCAGTACTCCCTGACTTTCAATAGTTCTCTCTAACTGATATCAATACGTGATCAAACTTGAAACAAATCAGATCTCCACAAACTAACTTTACTCGGAGGCCTTCATTCACTCTTATTATGTAATGATTCTCACTAATTATAAGGTCTAGCTACTCTTCCTAGTAAAGATGATTATATTTTAACTGCCCTATCGATTTACTGATTTCATTTGAAACACATCAGAAGTGCAAATAATTTATAGTATACTGTATTCTCCTATTGGTGGTGACGTTACTACTTAGAAACCATAAATAGGTTGTAAGCCTATTTTGTTTTCACACAAACTTGACTGTGTCCAGACTGACCACTTTCTGTTAAGAGCCTCTTGATAGGTCCATCGAGTTTGATGTCAGTGTTTATTATCAGCCTTAATGATGCCTAGCATTGGAGATCCTCAAAGTCCGTTTCGTCCTGTGCTTTTACTAGCAGTTACGCCGACATAGTCAATGTTTGATAGTTAAAAGTGAAATATTGTGAAGGCCTCAAAGCTCAACGGAATCGATACTCCTTCTCTTGGGCATCCAGACGTGTATCGTGCAGTCGGATGCGTTTGTTACACAAACTATTCAAGTCGACTGACTTATTCTATTATTGGTCTGAGTGGAATAGAGAGCTTCAGCAACACGCCTCGACTTCACCCTGTTATCTGATTTGACCATAGGCTTTCATCTCCCCCCCCCCACACTGTCCTTCAAGTCACCCTAAGACTAATGTCCAACTCATCGTTTCCCACTCGGATTCTATTCGAGTGGATGGATTGGCGTGTGATGTCACCCGATGGTTTCCTCGGCTTACATCCGATCCATCTCTACTTTTTTCGTTATATTTGTTGGGTGGTGATAGGTTCTTACTTGTTTTATTCCATTTCAGAGTTCCTTGTTGGTTTTTCTTTTTGACTGACTGACTGACTGGAGGCAGCTAAGGGGGGGGGAGTCTCCAAAAACTTCCTCGAAATGATTTAAGTGGTACATTGATTCTTTGGATCAATTAGAAGCACTGAGTGGACTGGAAATTAGAGTTTTTAAATTCAAATTTTTTTCCATATGTGTTGAGTTCAATAAATTTCCATACTGATTTCAAATCCAATCCTGGCTGGCTTTAACATACTCACACATAAAATAATTGAGCAAAGAATATCCTTTGCAATAATTCCCTCTTCTGGCTACGATTAGATATCTGTATGTTTATATACACTGAATATTCTAGAATAGTAGTCAATAACAATATTGGTGTTTTTTAAATAATATCGATTTGTTAAGTAAGATCACAATGAAATTACAGTTCATTAAAGATGCTTAAATTATAATAATAATAATAACAATAATAATATGATTGCAAATAGAATATCAACTAAAATTAGAAAATTTCCACAAAAATTGAGGATCATTCAAACCTAGATGGCCAAAGGTAGGTAAAGGAGGTTGTTTCTTTCAGGTTCCTCCGATTTATGCAGGCTGATTATTGTCTGTTGTAGTTGTTGCTGTGGCTGTTGGTGTTGACCAGGAATCTTTACCACCTCCCTCTGTTTTCTCTCTGTTCACCTGAAGTTCTATTTTGATGCTTCTTCTTCTTCTTCTTAAGAGCTGATAGGAAGGATATAATTAATTGATTTTCATTAATCTATTTATTGATTATTAACCTCGATAATAACATATTCCCGTTTAATTTTTCTTTTGTTTGCTATTTTTTGTTTTCATCAAATAGTCACATAGTGAAAAACTCTATTCCTTAGAAAAATCTTCATGTATGCTAAAAGTTTTAATCAGTCAGACTTCCCAACAATCGTCTACCAACGGGGGACAAGAACAATTCAAATTGATTGAATTAGAAACTGCCAATTCTCGTTATTCCCAATTGGTTAAACGAACTCAATTGATTGTAAAACGAGCTGACGCTTATAGAGAGATAATCAATAAACTTATACAAACGTATAATTCTCTTGAAGAGTGGATTAAACAACTAGAACGGAATATTACCAATTATGCTAATCTTTCTGGCGACAGGCATACACTACAAACAAGACTTGAATTAGTCAAAGTAAGTTACCGATTTGTTATTATTATTGTTGTTAATATATTTCTTTCTGATTCAACTTTAACTTTCCCTCTTTGATTGATTTTACCGAAATGTTGAACCCCTGTTAACATATCATCTCTTACGATGGACATTTCGACGATGTCCCAGGCTGACTTACCGTGGACTGACTGATTGACTAACTAGTTTCAACATAGAACTTTGCACCGATGCGCACCAGTTTGAGTCGCCACACTCCGTCCATGTAGCCCACAAAGCAAGGGAAGAAAGTAAAAAGAAACGCAAAACAAAGACAGTAAACAGAGACATGGACAAATACACACCGAAGACATTGGCTAGCGGTCGCGCTATGTTGTCGTGAATTGACAGAGTTTAGAATACATAGCCTGGCCATTGGATAGGGTCCCAGTGTCTGCTGAATGGTCAACGAGCTCACTGGCCTTGTAACCAGAAGGTCCTAGGTTTGAACCTCAGTGGGTGCGTACTGATGAAGAGTCCCAAACTAGGATGAAACAGCTGTTGAATACTCCCAGTCTGTTTTCCGATGGTTCTCTAACCAATGTCATCTCATGATGAAATCCTGTAAACAATCAAATCCCTACAAACCAACACTTGAATAAAAATACAGTTTTATTGGAAATTATAAGTCAGACATTGAGAACGGTTTTGAGCGATATCACCGATTGTCTCCAGCTTTCATTGGTTTTTACCGTCCCGAGGACTCCAAGTACCCAGTAAGTCTACACCTTCTTACGTGGCATGAACTAACTGTTGTGGATTTCATTGACTGATGAAGTCATATGTTGGTTTGACCACCACTGGCTCTTTTCCAGTATGATCCATCCTATGTCAGCTAACATTCCCCACTGCGGAGAAAGGCGATGGCTAGGCATACGTAACACTTACCGTGCAAGCCAAAGTGCACATATAATAACTGATTCTCCTCATATAAAGAAGTGGCACACTTGACTCAAACGGTCTAGTGGATAACGCTTTGGCGTTTTAAACAATTATGAGTACTGGGTTCTAGTCTCAGCGGGAACAACACCATCACTAGCTGGAAGGGATGCAATTACATCCAGCTGACGAGTTCTAAATAAGATGAGGTTTATGCATCTTGCATTCCACCACTAACCACTAAAATAACTTCAAGCTTTGTGTTTTGAACTGATTGACATTGCCATGAATTCCTGGTTAGCAATAATGTATGCATTGGAAACTTCCCTTGGCCTTAGATTTGAATGGCTTCAACTCACTTCGATTGGTATTGGAGAGTGTATTTCAGTAGAGTGACTGAGAGTTGATAATGATAATAAAAATATTCGAAATAGTGTCATACAAATGACTTATGTATCCGCATAGACTGTGTGTTGGTAGCACAGTGGTTACGACTCCCGCCGACCATACACACATGGTCCAAAATGCGATTATCGGCCGACGCACACTTAATATCAATGTTCGGTCTGTTAATTAAAGAAAACTAGGGAATACTGGGCAGCTGTTTCACCCTTGTTTGGGACTCTTCGGCGGGATGCACCCTTGACGCCATCGCTAGGCATCGGACCCAGGACTTTCAGACTGTGGTACTTTTATTAGCTGAATGATCAGCTAGCTTGCGTCGTAACCTGAAATTACTGGGTTGGTGGAAGCCTTATGGTCTCGTACTGATGAAGAGTTCTAAAGCAGGACGAAACACCCCTCGAATACTGCCTGGTTTTTTAAATAGTCCTTTGATTGATGTCAGCTCGTAGGCGTAATCGAAATCAATCAAATCCCCCTGCTGAACACCAGCACTTGGATATTTTGACATTACTACAGATCGTCTAAGAGACATGAGAGAGACGGCATTATGAGCGGGAAATATTTGAATTTCTGTAATGCCATGACTTCGAAATTCTTGAAGAACGTGACTTTATGAATGAAAAAATTATTCCTATGGATTCAACTGATTTAACCCTATGATTAGCGTTCTCATAATGATAAAATTGGCGAACATTAATCTATATAATTATTTGCTGCCTGTGTTAGACACTATCTTATTCAATTCAATTTAGATTTTCTCGTTGATTGATTAGACCGAAGTGCTTGGTCTTAGGTTGACGTGTCAGCTCGTTGTAAAGATGCTCCGACGACGTCTATGCATGTAAAATGGAGTCATTTGGTGGATCGTGACTACCAGTGGAATCCAGAATGATGTGAATGGGCAATAGGTTCGAGCCTCGGTGGCGACATCATCACTCACTGGGTTAGACTGCAGGTACATCCAGATGATGAGTCCCAAATAGGCCGAAATGCGTATGCTGGGTTGCACTGCTAGTCACCACCCACCAGTTGACTTGTCTTATTGTTTATTTCAGGCTCGCCGCAACCACTGTTTATCCTTTTTGTCGTAAACTTTCGTCAATAAGGTAGTAATTTTTTTTCAACTTTGAACTTTTAAATTTTTGTTTTTAAGAAACGACTTGTAAGTTGATCGTTTGTTTGTTGTTTGTTCTGAAATTGAAAATGGTCTAATTACTCCTGTCGTTCATCCGTTTGTTTGTTTGTCTGTCTGTCTGTCTGTCTATTCGTTGTTGTCATCATCGGAGTGTTTGTGTTGTTCACCTTTTGGTATGACAAATGCATTGTTGTATAGTTTCTTTTTCGAGTTTTTTTTTATTTTTGTTGTTGTTGTTGTTTGCCCACAGGATTCTTTTACTTCCTTATCACATTCTGTCCTCTAAACAAATTATTGCAATGCTCACCACTACCCACGCACCATCTGTTCTGTGGTTTTGGATTTCCGGCCAACGACGCACTCCAAACACAAACATCACTTAGCCGTTAGCAAGCCCTTGATTACAGAGAAGGTAGGATAGGGTTGGCCCTTAGGGTTAGCAACCACTCCACCCAGTATGTAATCAACATATAAACATAAGTCAGTGAATTTCAGCTCAAATGGGTTGGATGATCAACGAGCCTCGTAACCTGAAAGTTCTGGGTGGTTCGACTCCTCGGTTGGATGGTGGAGTGGAGGAGGTGTCGCGTACACTTCTGAAGACTCCCGAGCTGGGACGAAACAGTCATGTAGTGTTCCTAACAATGACGTTGGTTCCTGGCAAAATGTAACCACTGGAATTAATTCAATTCCCTACAAAAGTAAATAATTCTTAATATTACCAATAAGCTCATTAGGAGGAAGTGTTTGTCACATTTGTATACTTCGGAAAAAAAAAAGATTAGTAGGACTGCAGTATGTGTGGTCATTAGAGTGTATTTCTGAAAACCTCCTGTTCACCAGATGAATGAATGCTCTAAAATGAGAAATGTTAGCGCGTTGTATACCATCTGGATTCTACATGTATATCACGCTTATATGCATTCACCTGGCATCTCCATATATGCCGACGTCAGCTATCTGACTATAACAGTGCGGATATTGTCCTCTGTTTTTAAACCTTTTTTTGGAAAGTTGAGAACATAAGGGTCTGAGAACGTTTAATCCTGCTTCTCCTAGGTTATATATAATAGGGATATGTGGATGACACGCATTCATTGTGCTGAAATCTAAACAAATCCCTCAGTTATTATTCACACACATATAAACTCAATAGAAGGCGGAATCCAATTCAATTCTGAGACAAAAAAAACAAAACAACCGAACAGGATGAGTTGGCCATGCTAGACTGTAGAATAAACCGAAAACGAGATGGTGGGTGGTTGGATACTAGCATTTATAGGAAACCGACACATTCTAATAAATATCTAGACTTCAATTCACCCCATTCAGAATCGGTAAAGACTGGTTTAGTTAAATGTCTGAATAATCAGGCCATGAGCCTAACTACTAGTAGGCCAGAAGATTAAAATAACCAAATCAAACAAATAAAGGAAGTATTACTAGTGAATAACACACCACCCACCATCCACCATAATCTACTCAAAAATGTATGAGTGTGGTGAGAGCAGGCTGCTAGCCGATTGGTAGACATCAGTCTACGTCAATGTCTAGGTCACTAATATTGGCCGTGAGAAAATATTAACAAGGCTGATTCAACAACCAATCACAGCAGACTTAACGTGGGCGATATGATGCGCAGATAGATGGCTCCATTTTCCGAGGTTACCCGAAACAACTAATCAGAAGCCTGCGTTTGTCTGCTTAGCTTCCGAGAAACAACCAATCAGAAGACTGCGTTTGTCTACTTGAATAAGCTATAATAATGTACAGGAAATATATATAAATACGTGTTGATTTCCGTAATAAAACGATCTGTTGCCGGCCCTTGTCCTCTGTTGTTACATGAGAACCCATTGAATAAATAAGATTAAGAATGAAAATAACATAAATAATAAGGTACTTAAAGCCTCTATAGAACTGCCGCCTAAAGAAGGATTCTCAGCGAGGCTGAATTCGGGCGGTGAAGGGGGGGAGGAGGAGAATTGAAACCAACCAACTCACTCAGAGGACCCAACAAGATCCAATTAAAAAAATAATAGGACTTTCTAGATACCATGTAATGACTGTGGGATCAGCTTACTTCATCTGTGTCAGTTGGATTACCGAAACAGCGAGATTTAACCACAGCGAGTAGATGTTTGTCCTCCTGCCTTACCTACTATCTCCTACTGGTCATGACTTCCCAATAAAACCCAGGTAAATACCTAACTGACTAACTAACTAACTACAGCATGTCGAGTATGAGGACAAATGCTCTCTGAAGATATTGGCTAATGGTCGCGCTATTGGCCGAAGTTGGAATTCATGGACTCTTGGCCATTGGATAGGGTTTCAGTGACTGCGTTGTCTACGAACCCACCTTGTTTGTAACCGGAAAGTCCTGGGTTCGAAGCCTGGTAATGGTGGGTGCGTACTGCTGAAGATTCCTAAACTAGGGTGGTGAAGCATCTCTCTAGTACTGCCTAGTTGGTTTTTCAATGCTTCTGTAATTGATATTAGTTCATGATGATGGAATCTTTTAACCAATCAAATCGAATCCCTGAAGACCAACACCCGAATATTTCATTTTTGTTTGGTTATCTTGTTGTCTTGTGTTGTTTTGTGTTCATTAGTCAGTCATACTCTATTCGTATTCTCAACTGTATATTATAAAACTTTCCCACATGTGAACTACTCTTAGACTGATAACTAATAGTAGTATACTTTCATTTCTATTGATCTAAAAACACTCAAATATAGGATTTGAGCCTATTGACCAATGAGGCGTGTAATCGATTCACTGATGTAAACAAATACACCATGGAGTGTTTCGTCAATTGTCTTCCTCCACAATATCAAGATTTCATATTGGCTGTAGTAGATAATATCGGTGACGTGGAAAAAACTGCTAGTCAAATATTTGAAAATTTTTTAAACCTTCCAATGAATTGTATTCACCTATTAAAGGTATGGTTCGACTGTTGTGAACGAATTGAATTCATACTGAAGTCATTATCACAAGCTATAGAAACATGGCAAGTGTTTGAAGTTGCTTGTGATACTTCACAGTTGACATGTCGACGTATTGAAAATTGGTTAAAAGAACAGACGATGTCGTTGGTGAATAAACCAGAGGAAATCGACCAGAAGTTGGCATTATTACAGTTTGTCTGCAGTAGACTGGAGGTGAAGCTCAATGTAGACGCTTGTGAAGACGCTGAAGTGTTGTCTGACAACAGTAGTGGTGCTGCTGCGGCGACATGCCAGCCAAACTGTGAAGCGGAACGACAACACAAACAAGTTCTTGAGTTTCTCAACGAATTAACATTACACGTGGGACTGTTAAACTCGACCTTAAAGCGTCTTCCAAATCGTCGACATCAATTATACTCTAGAGATATGACAATTGTCGACGATGCTGTTGTTGAGAATGTAAACGACGATGGTGACCCGGAGGCGATGGTAAAACCAACGTCAACAACGGCATCAGAGGTGGTGCTGTCCGATTCTTATGATTCAGCAATGAATCGTATTAAAGGCATTACAGTTCTATTGAGTTATCTACAGAAAGTGACAAGAGAGGTTATCGAACTTTGGAAAGTTCGTGTAAAACTGTTCACCGAGTGGAATTGTAAAATACAGAATACAGAGAAATCTCTTGCCAGACTGTTCGTACGTACTAGAAAGGTGAAAGAGAAATTTACTTCTGTCGGCGCCGACGAAGAAGAAGCACTGGGAGTAACGATACTTTTAACTAATACTGACATTGATGACAACAACGATATCGATGGTGTTAAAACAATTGATGATTATATAACACTGATTGATGATATTATGAAAGCACGTGAACTGATTGGCGCTGAATTCACTGAATTACGTAACCGTCTGTGTAATATGACCACTTTTATCGATCGTGTTGGGCATAATAGCCAACAGCATAGAATGGGTGAAGTACAACGGAATTGGGAGGAGTTAGGCAATAATCTGATGAATTTACACCGGAATCTTGAACACAGAACTACACTATGGACTGATTTAACCGTACAAGTTGCAAACCTATTCAATTGGTTCAATAAATTCAATGATCGTATTCAAACATGGCTTCAGTCTAGACCATGGCTTAATGTACATAGCTTAAATGACAAATTAGATGCTTCCTCATCTAACACTTTACAAGATTCAATGAAATCATCTACTACAACACTAATTTTAAATGAATTTAAACAATATTCAAAAGAAACAAATAAATATATTAAACAAACTGAATCATATTTAAATTTAGCGCGCGCGCAACATTCAAAAGTAGCATATTTTCAAACAGAATTAAAAAGCTGTCAGTTAACTGACATTCAAACAGATGCTTATGATCAATTATGCAACAAGTTAAATCAATCTATTGATTTAAGTAATCAACTTATTGAGACACTAAATACCACATTCTCGATTGGTAATGATTTCCAGGTGAAAATCAATAGTTTTATCAAACAATACAAGGTTTTCTTATCTTCTATGAATGCTATTCGAATAGAATTTGATCAGTCGATAAGTTCAATACCAAAGATTGATCAATTGAAATCAGATAAACAAAATATTGATGATGTTGAAGGAGTAAAATCGTTAATTAAAGAACGTTCATTGGTATTGAATAATTTAATCGATCAAATCGGGGATGGACAACAGTTGAACAATTTATTGATCGATACATTGAATGAAAAGATTGATCAGTCCTTAGAAAAAGCAGAAGACGAAGAAGAAGAAGGGGGCGAAGTCAAAGATGATGTAGTAGGCTGTGAAAATAAACAGTCGAAGAGAATAATTCTTGTCTATCTATTAAGAAATCTTCTCAAGAAAGCCTACGATATAGATGCCTACTATAATGCCTTAGGAGGTGATGAAGTAACTCATCCTACCTATCGTGCTGTAAGATGTTTAATTTATGAATCAATACAATTACGTGAAACACTATCACAAAAATTGATTACAATCACTAATGAAACAGAAGATCAGTTAAGATTAGATTCAATGTTAAATCATTTCGATCAACAGTTGAAAGCACATCAAGATGAAATGAATCAACTAGCGAATCGATCAATATATCGATCAAAATCATTTGAACTGAATTCAGTAATCGATAATGTGAATAACAATGAAAATACTATGATGCCAGTGAAATTTTCAAGTTTAAATACACCCACTGATATTGATCACAATATAAACATGTATTTGAATCGATTAAAACAAACTGCAGATGATTGTGGTGACAGAATAGCTCAATTAGAAAATTCTCTACACTGGATGACGTCTATAGGGAAAGATGATTTATTCAACATTGAACAAACGCTAAATAATTATCAACAGAAAATTGGTAAATTAGATTTGAAACTGTCACGTTGTTTTAATGAATTAAAATCGAAGCATGAAATCACCTTGAATAAAATGCGGAAATTTAAAAATCAACTTACCAAAGAATATGAATCATGGCAAGAATTTTTAACGAATGAAGAGAAAGCGGAGAGTTGGTTATCGAATAGTGAATTATGCAGTAAAAAGGTGCTATTTTTAATCGATATCTCTGAGAATGAAGACGATGATGAGAATAATGATGATGATAATAATAATAATAGTTCTGATGAACATGTGGTTACAGCCGTTGATGATAAAGAGTTGCTTTCAAAACAGTTAACAAGTTTGGAACAATTAGAAATTGATTTCAAAGAACACGGGAAAGAATTACGTGAACATGTTGAACAATCAGCACGTCAGTTGTTGTTCAATCTTATTCCAAATTCATTTAAATCCACATCTGCTATCGATAAAACAAATAATAATAAATCCGATATTATTGATTATATTAATATAATTGTTGAGCATCTTTTCAATCGATATAATCAATATAAATTAAACCTGCAAACAATTCATTCTAATCTTAGTGAGAAATATTTATGTTGGTCAAAATTGGATAGTAATTTACAACAAATGAATCGTTGGTTACATAATATCGATTTACAATTGAATACAATGGAAATGGAGACAAATTCATTATCAACAATATTGATTAATGATATATCAATGCATAAAATCGATGAACATTTTGCTATACATCAATTAAATGCATGGTGTAATTCAAAATTATGCATTTTAACAAATCTGTTAGATGAACTACGTCGATATAGTGAAACTGAGCTGATTCAACTAGAGGAGCTGGTACAAGCACAATGTTCTATTGATCGAATGCTCAAAGAACATTCTTCTAACGATAGCGATAACAATAATAATAATGATATAATATCGGGGAAGATGTCTTCATCGTTGGGAAAAGATGCTACAGATCGATTGAATTGTATCTTTAAAAAATACGATCAGTTAAAGGGTCGTTTAGAATCATTGATCCACTTGAATCATGTTATACTTAACTTATGTGAAAAATTTGTCCGTAAACGATGTGAAATATTTCAATGGTTACTGGGGCAACGTCGTGAATTAGACCGGTTGATGAGCCAAACCGAATCGTATTCATCATCATCATCAGTGCAATCACAGATCTCATCAATGCCTAATAACGAAGTAACCAAATTGTGTCAACTGTTTGATAAAACCACTTGCGATTTAGAGGCCTTCAAAACATCCCTTTCAGTGACATATCAAGAAAGTCTGGGTGATTTAATTAAATTGATTGAAGAGTTGGGTCATATGACACCGTTACGAATGGAACCGGCTGAAACATATGTCGCTGATTTGAAAAGAGATGTCACAGAGTTTTTTAATTATGTTACTCAAAAATTAGAGTACTTTCGTGTATGGAGTGAACAGTGGTCAAATTTCTCCCTGGATTGTAATACATTAAGCCAATGGTTAACTGGACAGTGTTCATCGCTGCTATCGATATTGTATGCTGAGTCTAGTAGTGGTAGTACAACTACATTATTACAAATTACAAGTTCTGATATGATTGAAAAAGAATTCAACCGCCTGATTGATCGAGTGAATAGAAGTCGTCAGTTGAGAATCAATTTAATCGGACGTCAACCATGCATAGAATCATTAGTAATGACTGCTCAAAGTTTGATTAAATCACGAGTCATTGCATCAAGTGGAGGTGGTGGTGGGCGAACAATCGATGACGCACTGAAAGCACTATCATCATCATCGCCAGACGAGTCAGCTAAATCTCACTCACTAGCTGTCGGTAGTAACATCGCCTTGAATGCTGCCACACATCTAATGGAACAATATCAAACCTTGTTAAGTGTATGCGATCGTCGGTTAGAAACAGGACAGATACTGCAGAAAATGATTGAACAACTCTTAACTTCTTGTAAAAGTTATGATCAATGGGCGTGTGAATTACGTGTGAAGATATCTGATGTAGAACCCCAGTTGAATTCATATGAATCATGTTCAGTGACGTCAGGGGATTCAGATAATAAATCCAGTATGATTCGAATGTCTATAGTCGATATGGAAAGTAGAATTGAATCTGGTGAGAGTTTAATTCAAGTGATCAAAGGTTGGACAGATCAATATACTACAGAATCAATAATGCAAGGTAATCAATATCGTTCAGAAATTGAAACTTTACAACGTTTAACTAAATACGATAGCAATAATTTAGATCAATTGAATGCCATACAAGACCTGGAGAATGATAATAATCAATTGAGAAGTGTTTCAATTTACACTGATATAGATTATTACTCATTGAAATCGATAGTTCAATCATTACGTGATCGATATGAAAAAATTGTCAAATGCGTCAATCAGCGTAATTTATCTCAAGAGAAATTTACAAATTTAATTGAAACCACTGAAAATCAATTAGAGTTGATTAACTCTCATGTGAATCTTTATGATTTATCAAAAATTATTACCTTGTCAACAGGAGCAAAAATTGATGATTTTGATAAATTGATTGAAAATGTGACAAGCCATTTACACAGTGTTTCAGAATCAGTTGCACAATTAACGATAGATACTAGAAAGTATGAAGCAGAGATGAAAAACTCAGAATTTACTGCTGATGCACAATTAGGAAATCGTTTTGCTCAAGCCTCTGAAGGGATTCAATCAATTCATCAAGACATTTCAACCCTTCTTATATTATTTCATCAATTTCACAATGAAGCACAAATATTTTCTGCTTGGATTATTGACTGTGAGACAAAATTTACTCGACTGTCTGAAGGTGGTGGTGGTGGTGATTCAAATCGATTGGCGGTGTTTTTTCACTCAGATAGTTTGACACAGTATATGGATGAACATGGTGATGATGACGCGGATGAGCGTATTATGCATCAATTAGATGAATCATGCCGAAGTTTAATTTGTCAGTTGACTGAAGCTAAACAAAAGTTATTGATTATTAAAGAGATCAACTCTGTCATTGAAAGTCGTGGTTATCAGTTGAATAAACAGCTGATTGAATCAGGTGAACAGCTGACAAGTAGGCTGAAAATACTAGAAGAGTCGTCGGGTGGCCAAGTGAAGTCGTCTACTGGAGATCATTCGGCATCGAATCGATTAAGTGTTATTATTCAAAATCATATTGATCAATTACAATGTCGTTTAATCCGACTGGATAGAATTCAAAGTGTTTTTACAACAAATCTAACTGAATTAGTCGATCGTTGGACAGATTGGAAGAATAGTTTCGATCGATTAATTGATTGGTTAAATGGTACTGCGACTAATTTAAGACGACCGATTTTTCATTCACTTGATTCATTGTCTACTAAACAACAATTGGCGAATAGTTTAAAGGTAGGTCAACTGTGTTTAGAGTTTGTGCGTTATATTATTATTATTATTATTTTGTTGGGTTCCGAATGGGACATATGGTTTCAAATAGAACTTCTCTGCTTTATCCGATTGTCTCTAGTTTTTTTTCTTTAGTTGACCCCACTATTGCTCACAATCTCTCATCTCCTCTATACGATGCCCTCCATGCCAACCTCAGGTCTACGCGAAAGTCGTCGTCTCTCATTCGGCGCGTGGTGTCACTCATTGGTTTCCTCAAGGTGTGCCCGGTCGATCATCATTTTCTTCAAAATATTTTTTGAGCAGTAGGCTCTTGTTTGATTCATTTTACTGGAGAGTTCCTTGTTGATAATCCTCTCTGACTGACTGTCCGGCCGGCCAGCCATCCGATCTTCAGTATTGAGTAATTGATGAAAGTGGTTGATGGAAGTCTGTAGTAGTAGCCTGTCTAGTCTCTGAACCGTGCAGAATCACTGGTCGACTTGACATTAGTGTTGAAAATCTGAATCTTGTTCTTTGCATGACGATTGCTGAGAGTACCGAATATTTTGATGTGGTTGTGTTCTCTGAGCTGGATGGTTAATTTGCGAAGCTTTCATCGCTCTATTAGGTGACATCTTCAGCACATACTTCAATTTGAATTGAAGTGAGCTTTTCGATTTTTCCACGAGTTGATTAATCATCTCTCCTGGTGGGTGACATTGGACGTGATTGGTTGTTTTTGTGTGTTTCCACATCTTCTAGGCTACTTGTATTGGAACTGATTGTTCCTTTGACTTGAACTTTGACCCTTTGTGCGTGAGGTTTTTTTCTTATCGGTTGATAAATTTTGTCTATCTCGATGTGTCTACTGATTGATGATTCACTGGAATGCCAAGCTTCTAAAAATTCTCTAGAATTCTTGTTGTTTCCTCTGTCTAATATTTGAACGTTGGTTGTCCCAGTCGAATTGATGTCCGTGATTGTCTGTATGCAGTCAGGCTGTATGAGGGAGTGCATATCATGTCTTTTGACGGCTAACTTATGTTCGTGGATACGAAGACGAAGGAGACGTCCACTGTGACCATTATAGTGTTTTTCGCAGTTGTTACAGTTTATTTTGTAGAGGATGTCGGTTTCATCTTCTCATCTTTTACTGTTGAGTCTTTTGGTTGGCATAGAATTCAGTGAAGTGACTTTGTTGGTTTGTGTACGACGTCAATTCCTAAAGGTTTTAAGAGTCTTGTAGTGATTTCAGAGACATCCTTTATATATGGTAAGGCTATTTTCTTTGTCGTTTCCTTGGAGGCTTTTGGTTTGTGATAGGTTGGCTTGGGCGCATGTGTCTTTTGATGAAGTTCCGTGGATAGGAGAGATGATTAATAAACTCGTGGAGAAATCGAAAAGCTCACTTCAACGAATTGAAGTTTGCGCTGAAGATATCGTCTAGTAGGGCGACAATGAAAGCTTCGGAAATTAACTATCCAGCTCAGAGAACAATAATCACATCAAAATCACGCACCTGAGCTACAAGTCTTCTCCATCATATCAAGTGCTGAATATCTTTCTCGCCTATCTGATCCTGCCTGGCATTGGCATCTTCATCCGTGCGACACGTAGTTGAAAGGATGCTTCATAGATAAGGGAAGACGGTGAAACACCATCACACACCTCGCGTTGATAGGGATTTGTGTGTTTACTGTTATTGTTGGCGGTCAGCAGGTATCTTCATCACCTCTGTATCTTCTGTATGTTCACCTGAAACCTTATCTTCTCTGACAAGTATGCTGGTTATTTATATAAGTATACAACTTGGGCACTGTCCTGGTAGAGTATAACTCCATTATGGATAAGATTTTATTTTGATAAATCACACAGTGTTTGTTGTACAGTAATATTAACTGATGACCACATTTCGAGCACAATCTATTGTCACTCATAAACATATCAAGTGACTCACTCACACAACTTTTCCCTGCATTTATATACATGAGTGGAATTGATGATTAAACATTTGAATAAAATATCAATATGATATAATGTACATTCAGAAATAATAATACGAGTATTATTGATCAATTACAATCAGACGGGAAATAAGACGAGTGTTTTTATAGTCAAAATAAGTAACTTATTAGAATGTTTTGATGTGCTTGAATTGAATTGAAATAGAATTTTAAGATTATTTATTATCCTCCTCTGATTTGACTGACTGACTGACTGACTGGTGGTAATAATATCTCCCATGCATATCTCTGGTATTCGCATTGAGTCATTTCTGTTGCATGTGTTTTGTTGGGTGTAGACTCAATGAACCAGGCGGGATTCAGTAATCAATCTCTCTCCATCTCCACCTACCTAGATTACTTCTTGGAATTTTAACCCTCTCCTATCACCCTAATGTGTAGTTTTGTGTTAATACACATGCAGTGCAACTTCCCAGTTATTTTCTAAATTACTCATGTGTCTCCGAAGGGTCAACCATTCTTCCCTTACCTAAATTCTTATGTTCCGATAATCTGATTAACCCCGATCTACTAGTTTGACTCTATATAGTTGACCTCAATCACAGTCATTTCAGGGTATTTTGTAAATTATATTATTTTGTCTAATTGGGTCAACCGACAGGGTCCTTTAACCTACAGAGCTTGTCCTACCTGAGTGAGTTTGTAGGTTTGAATGTCATTCTAAAACCTTCTTTATTAGGAATCCTACAGAGGGTCTCAAATGTCCCCTCCTTATATGGTAAAACAGTGGATGACTTATATTCTCTCTTATTTATGTTATCATTACTAGGTTACAATTATTTTTGATTTTCTTTTAGACTTTTTCGATCTTCCCAATGAATTTTATAGGATAGTTATTTAACACCAACGCCTGTTCTATATATATATATATATATATATATATAAAGAAGGAATTAGAGTGGCATTCAAACCTACAAACTCAAGCTCTGTAGGATAAAGGACCCTGTCGGTTGACCCAATTAGACAAAATAATATAATTTACAAAATACCCTGAAATGACTGTGATTGAGGTCAACTATATAGAGTCAAACTAGTAGATCGGGGTTAATCAGATTATCGGAACATAAGAATTTAGCTAAGGGAAGAATGGTTGACCCTTCGGAGACACATGAGTAATTTAGAAAACAACTGGGAAGTTGCACTGCATGTGTATTAACACAAAACTACACATTAGGGTGATAGGAGAGGGTTAAAATTCTAAGAAGTAATCTAGGTAGGCGGAGATGGAGACAGATTGATTACTGAATCCCGCCTGGTTCATTGAGTCTACACCCAACACAACACATGCAACAGAAATGACTCAATGCAAATACCAGAGATATGCATGGGAGATATTATTACCACCAGTCAGTCAGTCAAATCAGGGGACTAATTTAGTTTTAGATTTTCCCGTCGATTGATTGGACCGAAATGCTTGGTCTCAGGTTGACATGTCGGCTTCTTGTGGAGATGCTACGACGATGTCTGGGCATGTAATTAGAAGCTAATTGGTGTATGGGGACTAGCAGTAGAATCCAGGATGCGCAGGTACATCCAACTAACGAAGTCCCAAATAGGACGAAATGCGAATCCTGAATTCCACTGCTACTCACCATACACCAATTAAATTCTAATTACATGCCCAGACATCGTCGAAGCATCTGCACAAGAAGTCGACAGACATGTCAACCTGAGACTGAGCACTTCGGTTCAATGAATCGACGGGAAAATCTAAAATTCAATTAGATTTTGATTAGGATTGAGTTGTTCTTTTGTTGTTGTTGTTGTTAGAACCACCCATCAATTCAAAGGAGAAAACAGCATCTAAATCAATCACACACCTATTAACCACAACTGAAAACCTTCATTAGTATTCTTTCATTCAGGAGTTAGTCTCTTTGACTTTCAGTGAAGTACATTTATCATATTATATTGTTGTCATTCAGTTAAAATTTTTGCGGATTGAAAAATGCAAAGTGCTTATATTGCATCATCATGATATGATATGATATGATATCATTTAAAGGATCATTGAAAACTGGGGCAATATTGGACAGCTGGTTTTCTTCTAGTTGTTATGGACAACTACTCAGCATTGCGGATATTAGGCGGATACTTATTGATATGGCACTGGTTATCTTGTGGCGTTATATCATGAATTGATAAGAGTTGAATTCTTACCCCGTGATTGAACGGCCTTTGGGCTTGTATTGTAGCCGTAATGTCTTTAATTTGACTCCTCAGTGAGGTAGGTAGGTGTGTTTTAGGTGTAGAATAATACTGAAGTGTCTGAGAAACTAGGACGAAACGGCTATCCAGTGTTCCATGGTTCTTCAGTGGTGTTTCTTTTTTTTTAAATTGAAAACTGATCTTGACTGGTGACGAAATCTACATTGAAGTAACTGGAAACTCCTACAAATCCAAAATCGTCCTCTTCTTTTGGTGGTGACTTAGTGGTAGAAGCGTTCACCAACAACCGCACAGTGCTGCTGTAGACTGGATTCAATTCGCAGCCGACACACATTGCTAAACCTCGCCTAACCGGTAGTAAGCGTGTGAAGAGGGAATGTTGGACAACCGCCTTGGACCCCATCACCTCGTGAAAAGAGAGAACCCTATCGCTACGGTGAAACTTCAAAGCTCTAGCTCAAAGTGCCCCATTCTCCGCTCAGAGATGGAGGGAAGCAATTAATGATCACCTTTTTGTCATTTTATTGTCTTTGATTTCAGCCTGTCTCTCTCTCTCTCTCTGTCTTTCTCTCTTTTGAACATAGGCATTCTATCAAGACTGTGTTGGTAAGAAGGCTGATTTCGATTTGTGTTTGTTGAAAGCGAATCATGTGAAGAGTCTGGCGCCGAATTGTAATCTCCCCAATCAAAGTGAACAATTGTTTGAACAGTATAAAAATACATTAGATACAGCCTACGTAAGTTTCGCTATCTAATTTATCTGATGATTTATACAGAATTATTATTAATATATTTTAAAAAAATTTACTACTGTTATTAGTGCGCACCTATGTTACTGTGTAATTATGTTTACTGGTGATTTTGCGGTAGTAAAGTTTGTAAGGATGAGAGAATTCAGTATGTACTAGAGAGGTTTAGACTGCCTAAATTGGGGTTCTCAGGGGATATTATGTAGCCCAAAATCGCTGTCAGTGGTGCAGATGCATACTCTCTTTTGTGGTCTGCAATACACGCTAAACCTTCATATTTCTTCCACGTTATTATTCTTTCTTTCCCACATCGTTGGTGGCATAGTGGTTAGGACTCTCGCTGACCATGCATATGGTCTGGGGTTCGATCCCCTGCCGATGCACACCTGATATCAATCAATGGTCGGCCTGCAAAATGTGGGCTACCGATATATCACATGCTGAAAATTTCATACCTGTACCAAAAATACGGTGTGAAATCAAGCTGTAATCAAAATAAGTAAAATAAAATAAATCTTTGCTTATTATAATTTCTTGAATCTGTCTCGTCTATCTTTGTGTGCTACATGGAGTGTGGTGCATTTCTGTGCAAAGTCCTATTGTGGTGGTGTGATACAGACGGCAATGTGTTTTAACGGAATATTATTCTCACATATTCCCACAATTCAGTATTGAATTAGCAACAGAATACGATATATCTCTATTTGAACATTCTTTTTCACGTCGTTCAATGTAAACAATAATCACACACTCAATGATTGGTTAGAGAATATAAAACTCTGCATATAAATAGTGGTTTGAATAATGAAAATCATCCTGGAGAGAATAAAGGACGCACTGGATACACAACTCCGACAAGAACAAGCTGGATTCAGGAAAGGCAAATCATGTTTCTGACCAAATTGCAACTCTATGCGTCATCATCACAGAACAAAGCATGGAATGGCAATCAAACCTCTACCTCAACTTTATAGACTTTGAGAAGGCCTTCAACAGCGGTGACCGTGAAGTAATTTCGAAACTACGCAAGTACAACGGCGTACCCCAAATATTCATCAACCTTATTCAACAGCTAGCTGTACGACAACGGAACATGTCAAGTGATCCACAGCGGAAAACTCAGCGAGGCGTTTGGAGTAAACACAGGAGTCAGACAAGGGTGCTTATTATCACCAATGATATTCCTAATTGTGGTGGAGTGACTGGATTGTGTCAGGCAGTGAGTGGGAAACGAGAAGACAGGGATATCCTGGACCGACGCGAAGAACTTAGAAGACCTGGATTTCGCGCGTGGATGATTTATGTTTGATATCACTGTCACAAAATCGAAGGCTTACAAGCGAAAACCGACAAACTGGTCGAAGAAGCAGCCGGCGAAGATAGGATTCCAGATGAACATAGACAAGACGGAGGTTATGAAAATAACCAACCAACCAACACCAACAACAGCAGCAGAAACATCCAGCACCAATCACCATCAACGGGAGGGATTTGAAAGAGGTTACTTCCTCAATTCACTTATCTAGCATTGAGCATTGTCTCAACTACACGCAGTCGGAACGGACGAGGACGTCAAATCGAGCGAGAATCGGGAAGGCGAGAAACACATTCATCAACCTGAAAACAATCTGGAAATCTTCGTCACTCAGCCAATATCAACAACAAAATTCGGTCGAATTTTCAATACAAACAACGTCAAGTCAGTCAGTTCTTTTATACGGATCAGAAACTTGGCAGGTGGGTCACAAGGAATATTTCCAACAACCTGTTGCAGACCTTTATCAACAACTGTCTTCGCTGGATCTATACTGAAGATCAGATGGCCGAGCCGGAAAGAGTCATCAACTATGGGAAACTATGGGAACAAACAAAACAAGAACCAATCTCCAACCAACAAATATGCAGGAGAAAGTGGATTGAGGTGGATTGGACACTTGCTGAGGAGGCGGCCGTTGGGTGACATCGCGCGCGCGTCAGGCCATTGCTCGAGTGGAACCAGGCCAAAAGGGAATCGGCGAGTGGGACGTCAATGCAAGGGTGACATGGAGGAGATCGTGTGAAGAGGAGTTGAAACAGTATGGACTAACATGGATTCAGGTAAAAAGTACAGCAGAAGGAAGATAGAAGTGGCAAATTGAGACGTGCAGTTGAAGCCTTATGTTCCACTAGGAACCCAAGGAAGCAATAATAATAATAATGAAAAATATACCTTGGCTTCCGTGTCTTGCCTTCTGCTGTTGAAACCAGTCAGCTAGTCATTAAGTCGAGGTGTATTTTATGGCTCGATTGGCCGATGTAGAATATAGCACACAAACACACACACACACACACAAGTCGTCAAGTTAACACGAAGTACATATTAAACTAGAGAATAAAAAGTTGGACAAAGTTCAATTTTCTGTTCTTCTGTTGTTCAGCGCAGCTATATAACAAACTGACGACGGTGTTATTCATTCCACTTACAACAATGTCTATTTCTTTGGATGATCTCGAATTCATCTTACAGCTGCAGCAGCAGGTTCAGAATGAAGCAGCTCAACTGAAATTAATCGAAACTCTCACTCACTCAGAAGCTGTCCATTTAAGTTCCCCCCCCCCTCCACCAACATTTCATTCAGATGTCTGTCTGTTTGTTTTCGACATAGAACTTTGCACCGATGTGCGACAGTTCGAGTCGCCACACTCCCTCCACGTAGCACACAAAGCAAGAGAAGAAAGTACAAGAAATACATAATAGAGACAGTAAACAGAGGTGTGAGACAAAGGAATAGCAATGACGAAGAACAATATAGTTTCATTGGAAATCATAAGTCACAGGGAGTGGATGCTTCTTCGCTGTCATTGAGAACGATTTTGAGCCATATCACCGATTGTCTTCAGCGTTCATTGGTTTTAACCGTCCCGAGGACCCCATCCAGTCGGGAAGTCTACACCTTCCTACGTGGATAGCTGTCTTAAACTAACTGTTGTGGATTTCATTGACTGGTGAGGCCATGTTTTGATTTGACCGCCACCAATAGCTCTTTTCCAGCCTGACCCTATATCAGCTAACATTGCCCGTTGTCGAGGAAGGCGATCGATAGCTAGGCATGCGTAACACATGTCCTAACCTCCTCTCAGTCGATGTAGCTCCACAGTCTCGTCGATTGATTTCCCCTCCCACCTACCTAGCACTCGACCGACGCTTCACCTCAATATTGCTCACCTTATTATACGACTTCACACGGGAGATAGAGCTCAGGCATCTATGATCAAAGACAGCTAATCTTTTCATGTCTTCACTCTCAATGGCCAGGTCTCACAGCCATAAAGGAGGACGGAGCGGACTGATGAGCAGTACACGCGCCGTTTGGTCGATAGCCGGATATCGCGTCTACGCTAGAGACGGCGTAAACTGGCTTATAGGAAACTAGCCCTCTGTATCGTGCTGAGATTTCGTCGGCGATCGACCCATTGGCATTGACCAGATAGGTGAAGTGGTGAAGGTGCTCTACCACTTCACTCCCTATTTCTAAACTAGGAGTCAGTGTGGTCCAGTCCTATACCATCATCTTACATTTGGCGGGAGCTAATCGCATGCCAGACATTCGTAGATTGCAGCTCAGTGTGTTCTGAAGACTCTAGATTTTGTCAGCGTCCTCGCCTAGAAGGACTATATCGTCTGCATATTCTTAGTCAACAAGATTATTCTCTGGTAGCAAGTCAATCCCTGTGTCTCTGAAGTGAGTTAGAGTTAAGTCCATCAGTACATCTATGATGAAGTTGAATAGGAATGGGGACAATGGGCGTCCCTGACGCACACCACTAGTTGTCACCATTCAGATAAATATGAAAGCATCTCAAACAGTATCAGTGAGTTCAACTATGATCCAATATCTGGTCTAGTATTTGATTCATGGTTCAACCGTTATGAAGACGTGTTCCGTATTGAATGCGCCGTGTTTGATGATGCTGACGAAGTTCTATTGTTATTGCGAAAACTTGGTACTGTCGAGCACAACAAATATGTTAATTTTTCATGCCGCCAGAGAACTCACGTGAATGACCTCTTACGATGATACAGTCAGCGTTTTATCCCAAATTATTGGTCATCCATGTCATCCATGTTTAATATTCGGTATCAATGTTTTCAGTTAACAAAAATACCTTTCGATGATTATGCCATTTACGCTGGCAAAGTGAACAAGGACTGGGAAAGTTTCAAACCACACGAAATGAAACCAAACCAGATCATTTCAAGTGTTTGATTTTTATTTGTGGTTTGAAGAACGCAGAAGATGCTGACATAAGAACTCGGCTTCTGTCACTCGTGGGTCAAGACTCGAAAATCACTTTACGAATGATGATAGCAGAATGCCAGCGCTTAATCAACTTGAAGCACGACACTGTTAAGGTGGAGTGCAAACCACAGTCGTCTGAATTTAGCTCGATTAACGACGTCCCATGGGGAATGGACACATCAATGACCTTGAAACGAGCTATCGGGTTAAATAACAAATTCAGACTACCAACTTAACCCTAACCCCCCTTATGCTGCCCTAATAAGGTGTTAACCGGCTACTCTAAACTGTGGTGATAACCTCCATAATGACTGTGGTAAATCTTTACCAACCATTCAGATGCATCAATAGTGAAAGCGCTTATAATTAGATTTTTGCTAATATAGAAGTCTAATATAATGTTTAAAAATCAGTATACTAGAGTAGCGTTCTTCTTGTGTATTTCCCAAGAATATCTCTGAATTGCGGTAGATAATCGGGCAGTATTACACTAACGCTACGATCAGGTATTGTCTGCGTGTATCCTTTCTACAAAATTGTGTCCCCTAACATCCATTCCTAATTGTCATTCCAATCTGCCACAATTATATTTCCTTTTACAAAGTACTGTGTCATCCACGTGAACAATTACACCGACACCGCTAAGTGTTTGAGTGATATTGTTCATTTTCCACGAGGTTATATCTCTCCAGTGCTAATACACCATCAAACTGCAGACACTTGTGAATTTGCTGCCTCGAAGGCTGTTAGTGGTAATTTCAAATCCAACTGTGGCACATCAGGAGAATTTCACGAAGAAAATACTAGCCGCATCCATGAATTTAAAAAAAAAAACACACCTTCTCGAACAGATTCTCTCCAACGACAATCTGGGCGGCATCTGTACACACCCCCATCAACAACGACTGCACATCTCTTTAAATATATATATGACTCCTCCACACCTACATGTTTTATTCCTTCCTGTGTGGCTTTTATCTAAACAGTACTGAAATATTAGGTGTGAATAGAATCTACAACGTAATTCGTGTACTGCATCCATAATACCGCGTATTTACTATGGCCTTGTTTGATTGGTTGATCAAGGTCATTATTGCGTCTGTTCACTTGGGCCACTACAGTAACCGGTTAAGTCAACTTTCAGCTATCCCTAGCCTTGAAACTAACCAGTTATCCTGTTTAATATCACTACACTTCGTTCAACACTGTTTTTATAATGGATATAGTGTTATTAACCTCGTCATGCTTGTAACTGAGTGTCTCACAGTCATTGGTGCGTCCGTGCCTGTTGGATATCTAAAGTGTAACTTTGTTGATACTAAATGGATGGAAGTGGAATATAAGGATGGGGAAAATTGTTTATTGGAGTATTGGTTTGTAGGGATTTGATTGAGTGGTTACAGGATTTCATCATGAGGTGATATCGGTTAGAGAACAATTGGAAAACCTCCAGGGAGTACTGGAGGTGCTTGGGATTCTTAATCAGTACGTACTTGTCAAACTCTATTGATTCTCTTCACTCATCTTCTTGTCTACCTTTGTGTGGTATTTGGAACGTGGCAACTGGAACTGGTGCACTTCGGTGCCAAGTTCTATGTTAAATCCAGACAGACAGACACCCACTGCCGGGGTTCGAATCCAGGACCTTCTGTTTGCTTACTTACCAGTGAAAAGAAGGTTAGTTAATTCATACATAGCACTGTTTTTATCACATAAAGTATGTACCAAATATGGTATAGTGGAATTTTTACACCTAGACGTATGTGCATAAAGTCTTCTAAAAAGACTTGTTGTTTTACGTGAGGAGACACAAGTTGATGGCTGTGGATAAAGTGGATACTGACAGTCTGACAAAATTCCTTTAGTAAATTTTTTGCATGAAACCAAGTGCCTATCAGTGACGATTTCAACGATATGGCCCATACTAACAATCGTCGTCAGAGTTCTATGAAGTATGACATAGTCTTTTTTTTAAACAACCCAGGAAAGAACAAGAGTGAAGAATAAAGAAGAATAGGTAAGATGCTGGAGTTGACAAACTGTAAGAGGCTGAGGGTTTGAGTTATGCCCGAGTGCCTTAACTTCTTCGCTAAGATGTGAGAAGACCAGGATAGGTTAGAAGAAAGAATTAATCCAAGATGCTTAACTTCAGACTTGATTTCTATATCCCCACTATCATCAATTTTGCCAACGGTTATGAGAATTAACAACTTCATCATTTAACTTTCTTTTACATCTAAGGACAACGCAAGACATCATCATCGGATTCATTTATTACCAACTCATGAAATCAGTTGCATAACGAATAAAATTGATAAATGGAGTTGAGTTAACAAGTTGATTTTGACTTGTGAGTTGCATGACAAAGTGTTTTTTTGTTTTTTCCCTTCTCGTTCCCCAGTGCAACATAGGGCTCCAAGCTAGTGGCTTCAAGTTTCTGTAGCAGTGTTTATTTTACAGGATGGGGTTGCTAGCCTCATGCCCAACCTTTCCTCTTTACCATCTTTACTTCGGGGTTAGCGAGGCAAAGGAAGTGCGTCCGTGGCCAAGAATCGAACCCCGGACCATGTGCATGGTCGGCGAGCGTCCTAACCGCTATGCCACCGACGCACGCATGACAAAGTAGACTTTTTCAATTCGATCACTCAGTGTAGAGAATACGAAACCAATAGTATTTGGTATACTTATTATGTGTGCGTTAACACTTACCCCGATGCGTCGGTGGCATAGCGGTTAGGACACTTGCCGACCATGCACATGGTCCGGGGTTCAACCCCCGGCCGACGCACCCCTTTTACCTCGCTAAGCCAGTAATAATGCTGGTAAAGAGGAAAGGTTGGACGCGTGAGCCTAGCAACCTCATCCTGTAAAACAAACACTGCTACAAAAGCTTCAAGTCACTAGCTTGAAGCCATATATTCGAGTGCGGAACGTGAATGAAGGAAAAAGAAAGCACTTACCCCAACAAAAGAAACCAATATCAACTTCATCACTTCCTACAAAAATGATCCAATCTTAAGCATTTGTTATTATTATTATTTTGTCATTTTAGGCTGCATTACAACAAATGCAGAATTCTGTTGAAATACATGAACAATTCGATTCAGATGTTTCACGTATAACTCAATGGCTTGAAAATATCGATTTTCAACTGAACAGTCTATCATCATCGGTTGATGAAAATACAGATCGTGTCACGCTGGAGCAAAATCTTTTAGCCTGTCAAGTAAGTCTAAGCACTTTTTTTCCTCTCGTTTTTCATATCTTATAGGGTGGGGGGGGTATTGTAGACGATGCTGTTTTATACAGCGCTATATACTACTGATTGACAGATTCACATAAGTAGTTGGACACTACTCAAACCAACCGTTTGAGTATTGAGATCATTTTGATCTGACTAGCTGTTTGATACAAGTGGTATTATCATTATCGTCATTCTCTTGGGTTCCCTAGTGAAGCATAAGGCTTCAACAACATATCTCCCCTCTCTTCTACTCTCTGCTTTCCTCTTCATCCGGCCCCGGGATTGCGCATAATCTGTCATCTCTTCCTCACCATACGATCTCCTCCATGTCACCGTCACGCCGACCACCCATTCGTCGCTTGCCATCTGGATTCTACTCGAGCGATAGCCTACACTGAGCACGACATCATTCGGTAGTCGTTTCAGCGTATGCTCCATCCATCTCCATTTTCTCCTGCATATTTGTTGAGCGATCGGCTCTCGCCTGTTGTGGTTTGCTCCCAGCCAGCCAGCCAGCCAGAGTTCCTTGTTGCTAATTTTTTTCTGGCCATTTGATCTTCAGTATATTTAGCCATCGCGAAGGTGGCAGCTGTTTAAAAATGTCTGTAACTTGCTGGAAATACTTTTCGTGACACACTGGCCAAGTTTCTCACTTGTGTAGAAGAGCCGATTTGACATTGGTGCTGAACAGAATCCGAATCTTATTGTTCATACTGGCCGGGTTAGTGCAAAAGATTTGCAAACTGGTTTCAGGTTGGTTGATGAAGGCGTATCTTGCCTTTCAGATCGTGGCTGGCTGGCTGGCTTTGACATCTTCATCCGTGCCATCCGCTTGCAGTTGAAACGATGCTTCCTAAATAAGTGAAGGAAATAATCTCTTTCAGATCTATTCTGTTGATAGTTGTTGTTGTTATTGTTGGTGGTGGTTGGTTAGTAGTTCGTTGGTTATCATCTTCATCACCACTGTCCTCACCTTCTCTATGTTCACCTGAAGTCCTGTCTTCGCTGCCTGCCAACCAGTCCTGCAAGTTTGTTGGTTTTTTTCCTGTGATTCTTCAAGTTTGTAGGACATTAGACAGAAGTCATCAATGAAATCCAAAATCTCTAGAGTCTTCTTCTCAGTGGTCCAGTGTCTTCTCGCTCCCAACGCGCAGTCTGATGTATAATTCAGTCCACCACAATTGAGACATTCCTGTCTTACTGCTGTATTCACACTTCGAATGCCTCGCTGAGTTTTCCGTTGTGGATTACCTGACACATGACATTGTCATTTGGTCAGCCCAGCCGTTGAATGAGGTTGATTGATAAAGGCCTGGGCTCTGCATACCCCATAGTCTTGAAGTGGTATACAACTACTTATCTCAATCAATGAGTAGTATATGTATTATTATATCCTTTAATTCCTAGACGAACATAGGGCTTCAGCCAAACGTCTCCATTGCCTTCTGTTTTCTGCCAACTTTTTCACCCCGCTCCAAGTCTGCCCACATGCTTTCATCTCCTCTTCACATCACCTCCTCCAAGTCACCCTTGTACTGACGACCAACTCGCCGCTTCCCTTTCGGATTCCACTCGAGTGATGGCTTGTCTAGTGATGTCACTTGATGGTTTGTTTCCTCAAAGTATGGCCAGTCCATCTCCATTTCTTCCTGCCTATTTGTTTCACAAGCGGTTGGTTCGCTCATTGTCAGAGATCTCTGTTGCTGATCTTTTCTGGCCGGCCATCTGATCTTGAGTGGTATTGAGCGAAGACAACTGTTAATGAAGGTCTGCAGTTTGTTTGAGATGCTCTTTATGACGCACTGGCCAAGTCTCTGATTCGTATAGTGAGTAGCACTGACTTCACATTGGAGTTGAAAATCCGGATCTTATTTTTGATTTTGAGTTCTGTTGACCTCCACACAGACTTAAGAGTAGTGAAAGCTCGTCTTGCTTTTCCGATCCCTGCTGCTTTAATGTCCACGTCAATTCCGCTTGTAGTATATGTATGGCCCTACATATTTATACTTGCTTTCTTGATTACCGTTGACGATATCAAGCAGATCGCATGCGCACTGTGACCTGAATAATCCCTGTTTCAAAAGGGAACTTTGATGGTAGAGAACTTCATCACCTCAAATTGTGTAGATTGCAAATTGTGAATTCCATTTAAAGAGAACTTCCGGTAATTTCATTCCGTAGCCCCAGTCCTTAATGAATCTATAATTTATTTTCAAGTATTTACTTGTTCAAGGATTTGTGATTGGTGTCAAGTTTAAATCACGAATTGATGTCGGAGTCAGAGAACCATTGGGAACTAGTAGGAGGGGGGGAGTATTGGACAACAGTTTTGTCCTACTTTGGAACTCTTCACCAATAGTATGCTGAATTAGTATAAATGTGTCATCTACATATCTGTAGGATGACATGATAAATAAAATCCGAATAAATCTGCTGAAGAAGCTGTGGCAGCTTACACAGCGAAACGTTCAGAAAACAGATCTTGTTTTGATTAATTTTTTTTCTTAAACACGCTGGGATTATTATTTTAAATAATTTATAATGAAGCAATCTGACTCGCCGCTGAAATTATTCCAGGAAGTTCGTATAACACCTACGGTCTGAAAACTTATAACTTTCTTTTTTCTTATTTTGTTTTCTCTAAAATAAACCCTGTTTTAGAATCTCTCAGAAATGATTACATGTCAATCAGAAACGCTTATTTCCAGTTAGTGATTATCTCAGATCAAGTTTGTCGAACAACAGATTCTTTAACAAATAAAGAAATATTAGATAAAGTTGATGTATTTCGTCAATCAATTCGATGTAAAGCCCAGCAAATAACAGATATTCAAACAGATATTGAAACAAAACTAAGCATAATAACAAATTGGCAAAATGCTAAATCAAATGTTGTCAATATTTTGAATGGAATTTGTCAAAGTCTACTGACGATAACTGTTCTACAACAGAAAACATCTGCTCATCAGCAACAGCAACAACAACAAGTTCAGCCAATGACATTGAATATTTTACTGACTTTAAAAGAAGAACATTTCAAACAGTTCCAGGTAAGATGTTTGTCTTTTTTTTTTAGTTCAAATCATTCTCTTAGTGGATAACCACTCTGACCTTTCTTGAAGTAGTTTAAAGCGTAACACAGGAGAAGACGAAAAAAACGCTTGATAACGGAATGTTTGTTTTCAGTATGGTTGGAGGATTTCATCATGAGCTGACATCAGTTAGAGAACCATTGGAAAAGCAACTAGCAGGAGTACTGGACAGCTGTTTCTCGTCATCCTAGTTTGGGACTCATCAACAGTATGCACCCACCACAGAGGTTCGAACCCACGATCTTCTGGTTACAAGGCCACCGAGCTTGTAGACCATTCAGAAGACACTGGGACCCAATCCAATGGCCAGTCCATGAATTCTGATTTCTGCCGATTTATGACACAGCGTGACCACTTCGCAATGTCTTCCGCTTCGATGAGTTACTGCCTCACCTTCAACCTGCTGTACCCTACTGGTCACAATTTCCCACTAGAACCAGGAAGTCAAGGGTTTGAATCCTTGCGGTGGGTACGTACTGATGAAGAGTCCCAAACCAGGACGAAGCAAATGTGCAGTACTCCCTGCAGGTTTTCCAATGCTTCTCTAACTGATGTCAGCTGATGATGACACCCTAACTCCTTCTGTATTAATAAGCATAAGTAGGTAAGGTTTCAGGCTTCCCTTCCTTATATATGTTGGTAAAACGGCTTAAATGTCTTAAACTCTTTCTTATTTCTGTTATCAACTATAGTTCGACTACTGTTTTTTTTATTTTTTTTTGTCGGCTTTTGTAATCTTCTTAGTGAACTTTTTCCGGGATAGTTATTTCATGAGCAGTCCCTATCCAGATATTAAAGAAAATAAAACACATAGAAATAGGCTATCCGAATAGTTTCATAAAGAAAGTTATGATGAAAATATTAATTTTCTATAGTTTGGTTTTTTGTAAGGGTTAGTTATGTTTTTTACGAGTTGATCAAGGATTGATATCAGTTAGAGAAACATTGAAAACCAGCACTGGAGTACTGGACAACCCGCTGTTTCATCCTAGGGCTTGGGAATCATCGGAAGTACGCACCCACTGCGCCAGGCTTCGAACCCAGGACCTTCCGGTTACAAGGCAAGCTAGCTCGTATACCATTCAGCCACCACTGGGACCCAATTTAATGGCTCATGGTTGGGGTCGCGCTAAATCACGAATTGGTAGAAGTTAGGATTCATTCACTGGCCATTGAATCGGGTCCCAGTGGCTGAATGGTATACGAGCTAGCTTGCCTTGTAACCGGAAGGTCCCAGGTTCGAACCCTCTGCGGTGGCTGCGTTCTTCCGATGATTCCCAAGCACTAGGATGAAACAGCGGGTTGTCCAGTACTCCAGTGCTGGTTTTCAATGGTCCTCTAACTGATATCAATCCGTGATCAACTCGTAAAAAGATGAAAGTATTAGATAGAAAACTTGATACCGTAACAGCACGGGAGAAACCGTTATTTATAAAGTTACAATTTAATTAATACTTGTCCAATGAGAACGTATGTCTGTCACTTTCTAGTCGACGAATGATGATCGGGATTCAAATGAAGGATAAACTCGATAGTTTCTTCCCACAACTATGTATCTATTTATCAGTTCAACTGCTCCTGTGGGCTTATTACTCAATAGTGATATATATATCCATATAATATGTGTGTTTGTTTGACAGTCTGTCCTTGGTGACATGTATCCATATAAATTGTGTGTTTGTTTGACAGTCTGTCCTTGGTGACATGTATCCATATAAATTGTGTGTTTGTTTGACAGTCTGATATATTTTGCTATGTATATATGCATGCCTCATGTCCAACATTTCCTCTTTACCAGTCTTATTACTGGGTTGGTGAAGTAAAGGAGTGCGTCTGTGGCCGAGGATTGAACTCCGAACCACATGAGGGCGTAATTGATAGACATTCCACTTCTGTGCTACTTACTCAACCGTTACAATCTAGCATTACTCAATCGGTTCATTTGTTTTTCTTAGCCTTTACTGACTACTTCTGGCTGAACATTTGTTTGTCAAGTGTTGGTTTGTAGGGATTTGGTTGATTGGTTACAGGATTTCATCATGAGCTGACATCAGTTAGAGAACCATTGGAAAACCTGCAGGGAGTACTGGACGGCTGTTTCGTCTTAGTGCTTGGGACTCTTCAGCAGTACGCACCTACCGTTACGGTTCGAACCCAGGACCTTCTGGTTACAAGACGAGCTCGTAGCCTATTAAACCACTGGGACCCGATCCAATGTCCGGCCCATGAATTCTAACTTCTGCCAATTCACGACATAGTGCGACCAACACTTGGCTATCGATGAGATACTCGCTAGCGACTTGTCCTATTCACAGGTAGATAGAGTTACCTGGGGTTCTAGCGAGAAGTCGTGACCAGTAGTGTGCAGCAGGTTGGGTGTGGAGACAAATACTCCCTGAGAAGACATTGGCTAGCGGTCACGCTGTGTCGTGAATTGACAGAAGTTAGAATTTATGGACTGGCCATCGGAATGAGTCTCAGTGTCTTAATGCCCTACCAGGTCGCTATGAAACCAGAAGGTCCTGGGTTCGAACCCTGGCGGTGGGTGCGTACTGACTGGTGAAGAGTTACGAACTAGGACGAAACAGCTGTCCAGTACTTACAGTTGGTTTTCCAATGGTTCACTAACTGATGTCAGCTCATGATGAAATCTCGAACATCTGTTTGTTTAATCGGGCTGTTGTTTTTTTGGTTATTCCTGTTATCACATATCACCTCACTTTTTCATCCTTGTTATGAATAGAATTATTATTATTATTATTATTATTGTGATCAATTGCACAATCTATATGTACATTAGTAACATTGACGCCTATTGCATAACTTTTCCGATATTTGATAACTCTGCTTAGTACCAGCATTTTATTGATGTGTTGAATTTGTTCTGACACTAGTATTGAGCATGAAATGAAATCTCTGAAGGATATTTTATCTAAGAATGGATATCCTGAGAAGTTCATTAATAAATACTCTAAAGAAACTACCCCTTGCAAAACAATTCAAATAGTTCCGAAGAAACCTGTCTATATCAGTTTGCCGTTCAAAGGAGATGACGTACAGGAAGTAGTCAAACGAAGACTCGACAAAACCATCAAGAGAACTTATTTTATGCTGCAAAACTTGTTATCCTTAACACCACCAAGCGAGTGCTTCAACAATCTGGGAAAGACCAGTTACCAATCCTCGACACTTCAAACTGTGTATATCAATTTGAGTGTGTGTTTGTGGCAGCAAATACATAGGTCGTACGGAAAGGCGATTGTCTACTCATCGCATGATGGAGTATTTGCCGAAATGGTTGAAAACAGCTGAATGCAAAGTGCCAAAATCCACAATAACAAAACATCTTGTGAATTACGGACATGATATCGATGCTGTCAAGTCATTCACCATTGTCAGCAAACAAAGAAACAAGAAGATACTTGGAATTCCCGAGGGAGGCTTGTGCAATAAACCAGCTCTCTGTATACAAAATGAGATGGTCGTGACTCTGAATCTACCATGGTAATATGTTTTACTTATTATTCTCTACTTGTTATTACTACTATTCTACCTCTTATTATTATTTATTGTTATTATTATTATTCTTGATTCATTTAAAACTGTGCTTTATCAGTAGGATTATCTTAACTCACTTCAACATTATTATTATTATTATAACTATTACTATTGATATTAGTCTGTTTGCAATTCTCGTTATATTCCCTAATGACTAATTGTTTATCTAAGTGATGTAATTGAAGCGTAATGCATTTTATCTTAATTTTGATCTCTCATACTCTCTCTCTCTCTCCTTTTCTATTTGAACATGACCTGAAAACGTTCATACCTGTCGTCTTTTTGCATGAATAATTCAATGTAGTCTGTTTACTTATCAGTCTTACATCTCCCAATGTAGTGTATATATATCCGTGTATGTAGAGTATTCAGCTGACGGGGAGTTTTACCGAAGTTTGATGAATTCATTAAATCAGCCTGCTTTGTTAACCTTTATTGCTTGTTTAAAATGTTGTTGTTTTTATCATATTTATTTATAATGTATATATATAGAATATCAAATCTGAACTTGAACCAGTCGAAATGAAAATAGGCGAATTAAGAAAATGCACAGAGAAATATTTACAATTTGAACATAAATTAGATATTCAGAGACAAGTTGATCAACTGGTTGATAAGTATGCGAAAATCCAGAGTGAAATAGAAGTGAGTTGACTTTTTCTTCTTTATTTGTCTGTCTGTTTGTTTGTGTGTCTGATTTTTTTTTTCTATATATAATTGCACAGAAAGCAAATTGTTTCTGTTAGTGGCACGTTGATAAAAAGAGATTCAACATCTAGTGATAACATTCGTTTATCATTTACATTCAAATCTTTTATGCATTCAATGAACTCAAAAGTATCACGAAGAGAGTATTTGCATAGGTGTTGTCTTACCGGCTCCAACATTTCGGACAATCATTTGGCGATTGGATGGTATGGTGACCCTGACATGTCTAGAATCGATCGAAGCGGCGTGCCAGGGATTTGTGCACTTTTGGTAAGCCGTAGAGTTGGGGAATGGTTGATCCTGTCGGTTTCAGGCGATCGAACACGTCCTGCGGTATCAGACGGTCGTTCTTCATTCTTCTGAGAACATTTGTTACTTGTCTTTCAATCAGATTGTTGACTTAAAACTCAACTTTTTTGACTCAGAAGCTAAACTCATGATATGACTCCAGTCTCCGGCACAGATTTCCTACACTTTAAGTCAACAATTTTCGATTGCTGTAATCATTATCTCAGCTTAAAAACTCAAGCCCGACGTCTACTAACAAAAGAACATAGGAAACAACTCAAAGAACTAAGAGACAATAAAGATTTAATAATAACACGTCCTGACAAAGGATCAGGATTGGTCCTAATGGACAGAGATGTATATATTAACAAACTGACAACACTTATATCAGATGACAAGAAATTTGCCAAGCCCGACAATGAGAAAAAACAAGACAGAACTGATTGAAAGACAACTAACAAATGTTCTCAGAAGAATGAAGAACGACCGTCTGATACCGCAGGACGTGTTCGATCGCCTGAAACCGACAGGATCAACCATTCCCCAACTCTACGGCTTACCAAAAGTGCACAAATCCCTGGCACGCCGCTTCGATCGATTCTAGACATGTCAGGGTCACCATACCATCCAATCGCCAAATGATTGTCCGAAATGTTGGAGCCGGTAAGACAACACCTATGCAAATACTCTCTTCGTGATACTTTTGAGTTCATTGAATGCATAAAAGATTTGAATGTAAATGATAAACGAATGTTATCACTAGATGTTGAATCTAATTTTTTTTGCCCATCACTTGCTCTGATTATATTTTATCAAGTGTTATCGGTTTGCAGAAGATTGATGACGACAATGCAAAGAAAGAAAAAGCACAACGTCCCGGCGTTATTGTCTCAACCCCAGAGCCATCACATAAACAATTATTAGTTCTCTCAATGACTATTATCCGATTACCTGTTGTTGTTGTTGTTGTTTTTTTAAATCTAAATTCCCTGTTTATTTCGCTATTTAGCACAATTAGTCCCTTTGATAAATTTGAATAAGACATTTAGAAGAAGATAAATTTTGCGAGATAATATGGCATCATTACATAGTAGTACCTACACACAATCATCACTGTACAACTAGCATAATTCACAATAATAAAGTAAAATAAAATGCATGACAAATAAAAGTACAAACAAATGGAGTTGCAATGGGTTGTTCACCCCAGCATCTTCAATTGTAGCAAACCTATGTATGAAAGCCCCCTAGAAAAGCAGAAAGCATTGACAAGTTTTAGTTGTCATCCTAGAATATGGTACACATTTATTGACATAAAGAAAGCTGAAAAAGAAAACTTTCTAACAGAAATTAACTTAATCTCAGAATATATTGAGTTTACTAATGAAACAGAATCGGTGGAGGGAACTCTAAACTTTCTTGATTGTCTTGTAAAAGGACAAACTGACGAGAAACTAAAGTTTACCATATACAGAAAGCCGACACATTCCAATAAGTATTTGAATTTCCAATCAGATCATCCATCCAATAGGAATGAAAGTTTCAGTAGCTTTAAATCTCATTAACAGAGCTAAAAACATTATAACAGATAATGACGATATGGAGAACGAGATAACCAATATAAAACAGATTTTGATTGGAGATGGTTATCCTGAAAAGCTACTAGATAATATCATCAATAGAAAGGAGCATAAAGGAAAACAAAAAGTTGAAAAATCCTGGCTATCAACGATAGCCATTCCATATCGAAAAGACACAGCTAAACAACTTCAAAGACTATTTGCTGCATATAATATTAAAGTCTGTGCCAAACCCTCTAATTCTCTGCAGAAAGCGTTGATGCATGTCAAGGATATAGTTCCCAAAATGTCACAAAGTAATTGTGTCTATAGGATAAAGTGTTCAAAAAATGTGATGCATGCTATATAGGAGGGGAGAGCAGTAAACAGGTGAAGGTCAGAGTGAATGAACATAGAGTATACACGAAACGTCCACATAGAAATGAAGTAGAATTAAAAAGTCTAGAAAAAGGATCGGCTATAGCAATGCATGCGATAGACAGTGGACATAAGATTGATTTCGACAATGTCGAAATTCTTGGAAGAGGATTTCATTCAACACATAAAGAAAGGTTGACTTCTAAAGCCTTGCACATTTTAACCATATCGAATGCAGTGAATAGGAAAGAAGGTATAGACTTATCACCTATATGGCAAACTCTAATGAGGCAAGACAGATGAAAAAACTTAGTTGCAAATAAACGGTCGTAGTCTATAATGTCTGAATGAGGATTATCCATGAGATGAAGAAACAACAAACACTCTATGAGCCTCCATGAACTTTTAAAACATGTAGTATCATGTTTATCACATATGAATTCATGTATTTTCTATATGACAAATAGCATACATTAAACACGCACACGCATACAAATCTAATCTTTACAAATCAACTATAGAAGAGTAAACACAACAACAATTTGACATTAGTCATTACAAATATATGTGAGGACAGCTTACATACTTCTATTGGTACAAATGTCTATGGACAAGTGACCTTCAAATAAATCGACTTCAATTTATGTAAAAATGTTTGACTATACATTTTGATGATTAATAGAAATTCGAATAAATCTGCTGAAGAAGCTGTGGCTTACACGGCGAAACGTTCAGAAAAATCTTGCTGTGATTTTCTTAACACTCTGGAATTAATTTAAATAACTTGTAAAAAGTACATACTAATGACCAGTCATATGTTGAACAACATAACTGTGTTTTTACTTATGAATAAATGGATATTTAGATAGGTCAAGTAGTCCATGGTAGGCGAAGGTTGAAATCTGTACCCACCCCTCTGTTAACGCCCCCGGTGTTGTTTTAACATTTAATCAATGAACATCAAGATAATAAAGGGCTTAATTTTTTGTCTCGGATGTCTAGGGGGTGAGAGAAAGGGAGTACAGTTAAAATATGATTGGTTGAATATACCGTAGGTTGAAAAAGTAATCGAAGTGGAGTGAAAGCTTAGAGGGGAAGCCCTACACATCAGCACCACCCCGACGGGACAGTAGTGTTTCTGTCCACTCAAATGAATTGTCGTCAAGATTTGACAGAATAGTTCTAAAATATTTGGGCGCCTAATGAGAAGTAGACATTTATAGAAAATTATATTTGTAAAATCTCAGAGAGATTGAAATGAGTAATTCCAACATTTCTTGAGTTCGACAATCTGGTCCGAACTTCTTCAGGGAAATTATTCGAAATTAACATAACAGAGGTTTATATATAACAGTTTGAACAGACATGAAGGTGTGATGTTAGCTGATGATACATAGCAAATCCTGATTAATAAATAAAAATGGATATGTATCACTAATTAAAAACTATACAACTATTTACCCAAACACACACATACACACTCTGTTTAAAGTGTTTAACAAAGGTAGACCGATATTTGTAAGTCCCTGGTCAAATTTTGATCACAGCTCATACAATTTTGTTTATTATACTAGTTGATACTTGTTTTATGGCTCATGATTGGGCAAAGTTTTTATAAGCAAGAGATGTTCCTTTTATATATAAACCTCTGTTATGTTAATTTCGAATAATTTCCCTGAAGAAGTTCGGACCAGATTGCCGAACTCAAGAAATGTTGGAATTACTCATTTCGATCTCGCCGAGATTTTAGAAATATAATTTTTTACAAATGTTTATCCACTCTATTAAAGAAGGGAGTTAGTTAAAGTGGCATATTTGATAAATGTTTGGTAAAATGTTGAGAGTGTTGTTTCTCAGGGATTTGGTTGGTTACACGAAGCGATATCAATTAGAGAAACATTGGGTGTAGTGAACAGCTGTTTCGTCCTTGTTTGGGATTCTTCGGCCTCCAGGAGCATCAGGTTACAAGACAGGCTCGTAGGCTATTCATCCACTGGGAACCTATCCAACAGCCGAATATCAGATAATATAGCTCAATACCCGATTCTCTCCAAGAAGTTTTATTTAAAAAGTGAAATTGTTCACTGATGAAATCTGTAAACTGACTCCCCTTTTTTTAATTGTTCTCATGCTGATCGAAATTAGTGAGCTTTTTCATTCTTTTGAGCTCTGAGTAGAACATGGAGAGGGGATTTATGCTTTAAGCTTTAGAGTTTCAGTAGCGATAGTGTTTTCTGAGTATTTGAGGTCTGGGGATTTAACCGCCCCCCCCCCCCGCCACACACACACCGACTGCTATTATATGCTTTTTAAATAAATGTTCAGCATGCGAGGGAAAGAGATGCGGTGTGGAATGTGCGCTTGATGGCCGACAGAAGTCTTTGAGTTATCAACTGCGTAATTTGATCACCCTTGAGTTTAATAAGGATAGCTTTCTTTGGTACAGAAGCTGTCTTTTCGAGATGTGGTTTATCTTTGCTGAGACAATTGATAAAGTAAGTTTTCTGGATAACCGCTAGCTAATAAAACTGAATGTATACGTGGAAGCTCATCCATCAGTGTGTCGATCGTACATATTTTACGGGCCCTTTAGAACAAACATTTCACTGGGGAACGTTTATACTGGATAGGAACATTTTAATCTCTATGTGTAATGTCATTATAATTTGACAATTGCCCGGAAATAGTTGTAGAACTTTCTCATCACCAGCTATTTACTATAAATACACGAATTTACAATCTCCTAGTTGATGACTTCGTCGAAAAGTAGATTTTCCTCATCGTTGCAACTATCTTATTTTATTTCTGGAGCCATTTTGGAATATGCTCTGAAGCCCTTACTTGCAGAGATCGATGAGTCCTCCCTATGTATGTGTGTCCACACGTACATTCAAATCGGTAAATACAGTGGGATGTGACATCATTTTTCGCATCTTGTAAGGGCTTAGATGGATGGATATATTGGCTTCATATTCTCAATTATCATGACATTACCTGCATAGAAAGGTCTTTTTAACAGCAGTGTTCAATCTTTGTCTAGTTATCAAGCTGCTATGATACCCTATATAGGGTAGCTTGATGTGCACGTCTTTCTTAGGGGCGAGTTGGAGAGTGGGTCTTGGTGTTCCACTGATTACTTTATTTCTCCTGATGAACTTGTCTGGATAATTGTTATCAACCAGAGTTTGTATCAACTTTCTTTCTTCTTCATCAAGCGTGTCTTCAGTGCATATTCGTCGGATTCTACTGAAAAGACACCTAAGCCTCTTTTGTACCGAATAGGGCAGAAACTGTGGTAATTAAGATACTGTCCTGTCCAGGTAGGTTTTCTATAAATAAATCTTTTTATTGACCCATCAAGCCGTCGACTAAGCAATATGTCTAGGAAAGATAAACAATTATCTTCCTCTTCTACAGATGTAAGTGATATGCTATTCTGAACTTCATTCATTCGATTTAAAATTGAGGTGGCAGAACAAGGCTTATCACTGATGACTACGATATCATCTACATACCTTCTATAAAGTGGCACATTTTCGATTAAATCTTCCGATAAATTCTCAATGTACGACATATAAATATCTTATTTTAATATAGAAAAAATCCCCACTTAGACACTTAGAAAACAGAAAGATTGAGTGAAGTAATATTCACTTTTCAATTAGATCTTCAACTCTGGTTCTACTCTAATATACACCTATAGCATTTTTATTACAATACACAACAGTTTACCAATCAAGTGGCACGATGTCTTTGTTAACAATAATTAGTCAGTGTCAAAATGTCAGAGAGGGGGCGATAATTAACGAAGAAAATCAATACACATTTAAAAGGTAGAAATGGTTAGAATAAATTAATTTTACAAGGATAACACGTGATTAAAGATAAAGTGGTCAAAATAAATAAAAAATAAAATAATTTGGACAATTATAATTTTTATAGGTTTAGGGGGAGGGGGGCGAAGTAGTCCTGTTTATGCATTCTTGTAACGATGGCCACGGTAAGGAAAGTGGCTGTAAAAATTTCTTCTGAACACATAGGCTTGGCTTCTTTAGGTGAAATTCGATTGCTTCAGCTGTCTGTAGAAGACGAACTCGTAGAGCAAAATTAAGATTAGTCGAAATGCGATAAATAATTTTAAATGCAGTATTAACGTCCACCTTATGCTCACTATCTACAAGATGTGCTACTATAGAGCTAAGAATAGATCTTATTTCTCCCTTGCTTAACCACTATGCAGGATGATGTTCGGAAATACGATGATGAACCTGCCTAACTGTACGCCCAATGTAGCTAGCTCCGCAGCTGCAGTCAAACTGGTAGATCTTTTTAAAAAAACTATTTCCTGTGTAACATCTAATTTTTCCATTCCCCGGTTGTTGTTTTTTTAATTATTTTCCATCTAATTTCAGATACATCTTGTGAAAGTCGATAAAGAATTACAAAATCTACGTGTATTTCATACAAAAATCGATGAATCCAAAAGTTGGCTATTACAGATCTCTTTAAAGTTAATGGCTATCCATTCAACCGATGCTGATGGTCCACAGGGTGTTATACAATTAGGACAAATTGAAAATCACCTGAGGAAGCATTTGAATACATTCATGGAAAATAATTTAATTGAATTAAAGTCATTGTTAAAAGATTATCCAACAGAACAAGATTTATCGATTGAAATTGATCGAATTGTACATCGATTATTTCCTACTCCATATAATGGTGATCATGGTGGTGGTGGTATATCGATCACTAGTGCTGAACAAATTATTGATTATATGAATCACCTGAAACAGAGTGTTGAAGGATCTGGTGAACAAGATGATCAATTTCAGCTGGATTTAAATCAGATATCAGAGTCAGCAGCAGCAACAACAACAAGTGATGATCGTGGGCGAGTTCATCTATGGAAAGAATTATTTCAATTAGAAATTGTTCAGTTAGAATCAAATTGTGAAAATTTATTAGTTATGTGTAAACGTATCAAGGTAAGTGTGTGTGTGTTATTTGATTATTGTCACTATTGTGATTTCGATCAGTTGCTTGTGAAATTTGTTCATGACAATTCACATCGATTGGTCTTTCATTCTCTGTGTTACTGGTGACCACCAGGTTAGGTAACTTACCTGCCAGTGAGGCAGGTGTATTCTGAATAATTAGTGTTATATGGTTGGAGGCAATTGGCTGTCATCCTAAGGACGTGTGTACTACTCAGCTGCGATTCTCTCCATTCTCCAATATATCTGTGGGCGAGAAATGGCTATCGAAAGTGGAAAACATGAAAAGGCTTTGCAATTAGTAGTGTTCTCTGGGCTGGTTGGTTTAGTTGCGGAGCTTTCGTCATCCTTCTGGACAACATCTCGCTTCAGCGCAATATTTAGCATGAATAGCAAACGCATTTCGGATAGTATCTTAAACAAAAAATATAGAGGAGCTCTGGATAATCTCTGCAAAAATGAAAACATAATAAAAACAGGACCGGATAAGGGCTCAGGAGTGAGTGGTCATCAGGAACAAAGTGGATTACTTTGAGAAGAAGTTTTCTGGAAATTCGTCGACAGCATAGAACCTTTCTGTTACGTTCTTTGATAGCTCAGTAATACACGATTGAATTGTGTCAATTTGCTTACATGCATGGCGTTTGAGTGTCTTATCATTAGGTCGGACTCTGCTACGGTGTAGAGATTTCCAGTAAGATTTAGGGTACCGGTTTGTTTCAATACACTGGTGGATAAAGTCAACAGTAGTCTTTGCTTCGCTGAGCCTTGCTCTATACTTCAAATACTCGTTGAGTACTTCTAACGCAAAATGATGCTCAGAAGATTACAATATAGCAAAAATATTCATTCAGACATCTATAAAACACAAAATAATTGGGCAAAGAATATTTTTTTCGATAAATTCCTCTTCCGGCTCTACAGTTATTATATATGAGCTACAAATCTCTATTATTTCAACATGAAAAGGCTGTCTAGCTGTCTTTGATCATAGGTGTCTGCGTTCTATCTCCCGTGTTAGGTGGCATCATAGAGTGAGTAATACTGAGGTTAGGCATCGATCGAGTGCTCGGTAGGTGGTGGGAGGGAAATCGATCGACGAAGTTGTGAAGCAGCTGCATTGGTTGAGATGGTTAGGAAGTGTGTCACACTTATCTAGCCTCGACACGCAATATTACTCAGCTGACATAAGATGGATCAGGATGGAGACGAGCTAGTGTTGGTCGAACCAAAACATGGCTTTATCATGAAATCCACAACAGCTAGTTTAAGCCAGCCAGCCAGCCAACCAGCCACGTCGGGAGGTAGGTGTAGACTTCCTGACTAGTTGGCGTCCTTAGGATGTTAAAAACCAACGAAGGCTGAAAACAGTTGGTTATATAGCTGGAAATAGTTCTCATCGATGGCGCAGATGCATTCACTCTTCGTGATTTATTGTCATTTCCAATAAAACTGTATTGGTCTTCTATATTACTATTCTTATTTCCCTCATTTACACTTCTGTTTGTTATCTGTCTTATGAATCCTTCTTTACTCTCTTCTCTTGGTTTGTGTGCTACATGGAGGTGGAGATTGACAACTCGAACTGGTGCACATCTGTGTAAATTTCTACGCTGAAACCAGTTAGTCAGTCAGTCGGTCAAAAGGCAATTGTCTGGAAGCTTTGACAGTGGATCTATGGATTTCATATTTGTTGTTGGGACTCATCAACAAGACGATTTGGAAGGAACTAATAATCACAAGACAGAGCTGGAACTAGAGGCGGGTTGTCAGCTCCTTCAAGCTTGTCTAAATATGCTTTACTCGAAGAGTCCCGACAAGTATGAAACCCAGTGACCAAGGGTTCCTGTCTACTACCTTTATATATATATCTAATGATGACAAGTTAGTTGAATGGTTGATGCCTGAGTTTCAACATAGAACTTTGTACACAAGTCCACCGGTTCAAGTTGCCACACTTCACACACACACACACAGGTAGACAAAGGAGAAAAAAGGGATTTAAAAGGATTGTAATGAGCAGAAATGTTAGGGGTGAAAGAATAGTTACATGGAAATGTAGTTGTAGGGTTTTAATACAAGCGAGAGATCATAAAGAAAAGTGAATGCATCTGTATCAGCCATTGAGAACAACGATTTCGATGCAATATATCACCAGCTGTCCCTAGCCATTGGTTCTTAGCTGGTCTTGTGGACGCCAATCAGTCAGGAAGTCTGCACCTCTCTGCATGACTGGCTCAAATCAACTGTCAAAGACTTCATGGACTGATGGAGCCATGTTTTGATTTGGACCACCACTAGTTCTTTTCCAACCCAACTTAATGTCGGTTAATATTGCTCGTCGAGGAAGGCATGTATAACACGTTTCGTAGCCATCTTAATCGATTTAGCTTCACGACTTACTCAAAACGCAACATCAGGGTTGGGTGGGGGGTTGCATGCCTGTAGCGCATACCATTCCTCTTCAAATCCCTTGCACACAACCATTAGGTCACCCACTATCCTATTGCATTTGAACGGTTTGTTGACAAAAGGTCTTGGGAACGGCATTAAAGCAGATGACAGGCTAGGCATTCTAAGTTAGTTAGTTTTTGATTGAACACTAACTACTGCCATGTATCTAGTACTTTGTTTACTGCAGACTGAATTGTATCACAGTCAAGTCTGCAATGTGGTTAATCAGTGAAAATTAATTTACCACAAATGAGACGATAATTAAACAAGAGTGTTAGTTAGGGACAACAATTATAAACGGTAGAATCATACGAATTAAAACAACTGTTTACATGTAATCTGTTATTTGTATGATAGGATAAAAATAAACGATTGAAGAAAAAACGATTTTGTCTAGTGATTGAATTGGTAATAAATTTAACTATAAATAGTTTCTCAATGGAACATAGAGCTTCAACAGAACATCCTCATTTCATCCTGTTCTCCTCTTTAGATGACTTCTCATGACTTTCATGAGCTTTCCTTTCCTCATCACACTATCGCTTTTCACCATATCACCCTTGGACTCACGCCCCCAACTCGTCATATCTTATTCAGGTTCCACTCGAACGACGGCTTGGTGTGTGCTGTTGGATGACTGATAAACTCATGGAGGACTTCTTCTAAAAGTCCACTTACAATCGATGTATACAGGGAAATGAAGTTGTCTAGATAGACAATGTGAAAGGTTCTCAAGCAAACAATTTAGCTCTTGGAGAACACTAATGCACTAAAATTATCATCTACAAGTCATAGTTAGTTAGGTAGATCTACTCAAGAAATCGTGAGATTGAAGAGCATTGCAATAGTTTATTTCGGTGTGTCCGGCAACCTAAACTAATAATATCCTATACTATATTCACGGGATTGATTAATAACTTGCGACGATTGGCACTGTATTTGAATACCATTCATAGTTTTCAGCATGAATTGACCTCAGATGGATAACGCTTGTAAAACAGGAGGTATTCGATAGTTGTTTCGTCCGTACTTAGGACTCTTCATCAGTATGTACCCACAACCTTACCGCTAGAGTTGTTGAATATAGGACCTCCATTATACAAGACAGCATGAAATCCCATGACTCATGTATTTTAACTCTTAAAAAATTCGCGTTATAGAACAACTCCCTCTAGACTTGAAGGGCCCGAGTTCGTATTGATGGAGAGTCCCAAGCTGGGACGAAACATCTGTCCGGTACTCCGTGCTGGTTTCCAGTGTCTCTCTAACTGATGTTAATGTGTGTGATCAGATTTGAAATCAGTAGACTTCTCCTGCACCTGAAAAATCAACACTTGGTAAATCAGCGAACTTTAAAGCTTTACAGAGTTCTGTTGGTTGAAACGTCACATTAAGCGTTACAGTATTCACTCTCCTTCTGATCCATTTCCTGTAAGAGGTCACTTGGCATGTACAGCCCTTATATAACTACAGAGAAAGGTGGTGGTTGATCCATATCCCAGTTGGTCTGTCTGATGGCTGACGCTTTAACGTTTGAAACAGTAGGGACACCATCTCCACTCACACTGGGGGGGTGGGGGAGGGAATCCATGTACATCCATTAGCTAGCTGACGAGTCACAAATAGAACGAAATGCGTGCATCTTGGATTTTACCAGCGCTAATCACCATCCACTAAACTAATCTCAACTATAATTATTCACACTAAATGAAATTTTGATGTAGTTGTGTTCTCTGAGCTAGCTGGATAGTTAATATACGAAGGTTTCATTGCCCTACTAGGCGACATCTTCAGCGCATACTTCAATTTGAAGTGAGCTTTTAGAAACCTCACACACAAAGGGTCAAAGTTCAAGTCAAAGAAACAAACAATCAGTTCCAATACAAGTAACCTAGAAGGTGTGAAAACACACAAAAACAACCAACTACATCTAAGGTCATCCACCAGGAGAGATGACTAATAAGCTTGTGGAGAAATCTAAAAGCCCACTTCAACGAATTGAAGTATAGGCTGAAGATGTTGCCTAGTAGGGCAATGAAAGCTTCGCAAATTAACCATCCGACTAGCTCAGAGAACACAACCACATCAATATCATCCATCTGAGCTACAAATCTTCTCTATCATAACTAAATGAAATATATACAAAGTTGCATATTTATTGAACTTTTCAGGATCGACTTATGGAACAACAACATCGATGGGCTAAATTTGTCTCAGTTCTTCTTCGTATCGACAACTTTTTACGCTTAGAATTAGTAGAATGGTGGAGGCTGGCAAATGTCAAGAAATTGCCTTGTCTTAACACTGCTAAAAATGATGATACTGGGAAAGAAGGTATCGATGATCCCTATGATGCTACTGCTGCTGCTGTGGATCTGGATGACAGTGATGATGAATCAACCAGTAGAAATTCTTCATTACAATCTGAAAATTCCAAAGAAGTACAACTTGTATTTTTTGAAGAGAATAGCCTGATGAAAAAACAAGACAAAAAAGACACTTCAAGTCAATCGTTATTATCTTCTATTCAAGAATTATTAGCTGAGATAACTAACGCGAAAGCTGTTCATGCTAAATTACAAGTAAGTAGGATTACACGTATTAATTGATTTATTTATTTATCCAATGAGTAATTACTATTATTATTGTTATTGTTGTTATTATTATTTCCCTTTAGCGCTACTACTAAGTGGGACATCTCCGTCCCATCCTGTTTTCTGCATTAGTCTTCTTTAGTCTGGCTGCATGATATCCCACAAGCTGTCATCTCCTCATACGATCTCCTTCATGCCTAAATTGTCGCTTTCCTTCCATTTGGGTTCGACTTGACTGATAGCCGCCTGCCTGTCTGATGCGTGGTGTCACTCAACAGTCTTCCCAGCTGTGTTGTCTTATCCATCTTGTGATTTTCTTCGTTATATTTTTTTGGCTTATAGGATCTTGGAGCCGGCGATGGCGGCGGCAGTTGTTGATAAAAGTCTTCACCAGGCTGTTTTTTTGAAATCCGTCTATGGAAACGAAATCATATAGAGGAACTAACTGACTAACATGATATTAGTATTGCAAAAATACGAATCTTGTTCTTTGATCTGTCTCTCAGTTAGTGTCATTTAAAAAAACAATACTCATTTGTTTTATTTATTGATTTTTAAGCAGAGTTGATCACTTGTTATGACTAAGAGATGAAGTTAATTGGTGGATGGTGACAAACAGTGGTATCTAGGACGGCGCGCATTTCGTCCTACAGGGGACTCGTCATCTGGGTTTACCTGCATTCGTCAGTGAAAGTGATGATGTTCCCACCGAGTCTCGAACCCAGTTCCGATAGTTTCAAACGCCAAAGGGTTATCCACTAGACCACTTGGGCCACAAGAGCCACCTCTTTCTTATGCAACGGGTGGTCATATAAATTATTTAATTCAATTTCAGATTTTCCTGTCGACTGATTGGAGCGAAGTGCTCGGTTTCAAGTTGACATGTCGGCTTCTTGTGCAGATGCTTCAACAATTTCTGGGCTGGCTATGCAGCTGGGGGGAGGAGGTGTGTCTGATGGGTTTAATCTGTCTGTAAGGTGAATAGACATGGTGAAATTGGTGGCTCTTTAGTGACTAATTATAATATGCCTTTTAACTCGTTACCGTGAATGATAACTTACAGTGATATGGAATGAATCTGATTGATGTACATGAACTAAGTGGTCAGTTAAATCCCTGATCAATCACCTCGTATCCTAAAGGCTCCAAGTTCGATCATGTGAGTGTGTACTTTTGGAGGATCCTAAATTAGGTCGATGTCAGCTTCTTTGTTTCCAGTGATTCTCCAGTTATGTGTTGGTTCATGATAAAACCTACTTTGAAACCAAATAAATCCACACACACACACAAAGTAGATGGTAACACTGACATCTCCGACAAAAATCAATAAGTCACACTATTATTTATTTAATTCCTTTGCGTTCCCAGTGGAACATAGCGCTTCAAGTTTGAGCTTTGAAGTTCCAGTGGCTGTGGTGTTTATTTTCACGGGATGAGGTTGCTAGTCTCATGCCCAACCTTCCCTACTTAACGGGTTGACTATATCTCCGGCTATACGAGGTTTGGGAGTGCGTCAGCAGCCAGGAAGTGGACTCTGCATCACTTGTGGATTGGTTGGCGAGAATTCTGACTCTGAATCATCGACGCCATATACCACAAACTAATCATAGTGTATGGATCATTAGTAGTTGATTAAATGATCCTAAGATCGGTTTCTTCCGATTTCCATAAAAGATTGGAGTTTTCTTTCAACTGAAGTAATCTCAAGAGAAATAGTTGGAGGGGACATCCATTTTTTTGTTTTTGTGATGGCACAACAGACTAGTTATATCGTTAACTGCTGTAAGAAATTTCAATGTGCTGAAATAGAGAATACTGAAAATCATCATCACTTCTAGAACCTTTGGAGTGAGTGAGTGAGTCAGCACTCTCGAATGCTGCTTATACCTGGTTCGTATTGTTCAAGGAGAGATGGAGATAGGCAAGCACATCTGAAACCTTAGAGACCTTTTTTAGATTGAAAAGAACAAGAAGTTCAGCAAAGATATCTTTTCGGCGATTTCATTCTCAAAAGCTGTATAATCGCATTTACATACATAATTTTACATGGATACAATTATTATTTGTTTAATTCCATATAGTAACGAAGGTGATAATAATTTTCAACTTGATATGAAAGTTTGAAGGTACGAATACAAGGGGCTAAGAGACAAGATTGTATAGGATTAGAAAACAGTTACAAGGTATGCAAAATTAATATTTGATAACTGGAGAAATAATTTTTAAAGGCGAATAAAAGGTGATAATTATTTTCAACTTGATATGAATTACAAGAGGCTTAGAGACAAAAATTACGCAGGGATAGAACGAATTACAGGTGTAAACAAAATGAGCATGGAAACAAATTGAAATCAAAATTTTCAACTTGAAATGTTAGTTAGGAGGTGTGAATATAGACAGATTACAAGAAGCATAGAAACAAAAAATTACACAGGATTAGAATATAATTGTAAAATGGTTATTCTAAACGGATTACAAGTGGGATCAGGAGGAGCATGGAAACAAACTTAAAATAACTGATTTTATAACTGAAAAATAGGATGAATCGAATGAAGGCAAAGAGAGAAAATTAAAATTACACACACAGAAAACAAGACAAAAAACTGAAGGGAACATACCGAACTAGGTTCATGGACTAGTTTCTTTTGAACACATACCTCCGGCTTTCCAATGCATATGGCGAGAGCTCTTCCGCAGTGCAAAGAAGTCGGGAACACACACTGCTTTTAGTAGATATTTGTTTACTTTGTAAATGACTCTAAATGATTTTTTTTCATTTCAATTTCGTTTTTGTAAACCTTCACTTCAATATTTTTTGTTTGTTTTATAAATTAGATATACTTACAAGAATTATCAGCTGCTAGACATCGTTGTTCTACACCGCCTCCACGTCCAACAGTCTCTACAAATTTGGCTTCACTCACTAAATATTATGATCCATCAACTATGTTAACTGAAATCTTGGGGAGTACAAGTAGTCAAAATGTGAATAATATGATGAATTCATCATTACCTGTAGGTGTAGGTAATACCACTACTGGTGTTCATGAATTATCAAGTAGTGGTAAAGTTCAAATGTCTGAAGAAACAATGAATGCACTCACTGGTTCAGAATTACGCCGTAAAGGATCACATATAAATGAACAACTTGAAATAGAATTAAAACGAGTATGTATGATTTTCTTTCTTTTTTATTTATTTATTTATTTTTGTTGTTGTCGTCTCATGTTTTTTTTTACCAATGTTTACTCATTTTCTTATTGTACACACTCTTTCTTAAAACTGGTGTTCGTCAGGCTCAGAAGGTTAGGAAATGTGCCAAACAAGTCTAGCCTCAACGGGCAATATTACTCAGCTGACATAGGATCAGGTTGGAAGACAGCTAGTAGTAGTGGTGATCAAACCAAAACATGGCTTCATCAGTCAATGAAATCCACAACAGCTAGTTTAAGCCAGCCAGTCAGCCAGCCTCGTAGGGTGGTGTAGACTTCTTGACTGTTCTAGGTCTTGAGGATGATAAAAATCAATGGCGGCTGGAGACAATTGGTAAAATGGCTGGAAATCGTTCTCAATGTCTAGCGCAGATGCATTTACCCCTTGTGATATGTAATATTTAATAAAATTCTATTGTTCTCCCATATTACTATTCTTTTTCCGTCACTCACACTTCTTTTGATTATCTCTCTCTCTCTCTCTCTCTCTCGATATTTTGAACCTCTCTTTATTCTCTTCTCTTGCTTTGTGTGTTACGTGCCGGGAGTGTGGCAATTCAAACTGGTGCACATCTGTGCAAATTTCTCTTCGCTGAAACCAATCAGTCAGTGTCTTTTTTTTTCTACTAGTCTCGGAGTCTTCACGAGTCTCTAAGTAGGAGATAAGTCTTGCAGATCAATGGGTTATTCGTCCAATATGTTAATTAATATTTAACTACCGGTATGGAGTGTATATGGCCTGTGATTTTGTGATATAGTCTAAGGCGCTATCCAGTATCTGTCTTCTAAACCAACAACTCCACAACTTTTATTAAGCAGCCCCCAGAAATCCATCTCGAGGTTATCCACTGATCAAATAAGTGAACATTCACGTAATAAATTAACCGGTCTACTGCATAAACCTTGCATACAATCACTTCTGTCTCAATCGTTAGATTGTTAGATTTCATCACAAACCAGCATACCACTAAGGGAGATTACTGAAATCCATCAGGGAACACTGGACAGCTGTTTTGCCCTGCGACCGTACTAGGGATCATAGTTGGGACCTCCAGATTATTAGACTAGGTTCACTGTTGACCATTCGTCAACTTGGGCAGGGATTCAGTGACCCATGGATTCGAACTCTGTCAGTTGGTGATATAGGCGTACCTTTGACCAATGCTCTCGATTAATTATCCACTTCACCTTGATATGGTTGACCCCACTGGTTAAAACTTCTCAGTATAGCTTCAGAGCATCCATCTCTGCTCTCCTCTTTGTCTGGGCTCACGATTGACTGCAGTCTCTGATATCCTCCTCACACGATCTCTTCTATGTCACCCTTTAACCCACGTCCAACTCGTTCCACTCAAGTGATGTCCTGGCGTGTGATGTCATTCGACGGTCTCCTTAGTGTATGTCCGATCCTCCCCCCACCCCCATTTTCTTCTACATATTTGTTGAGCGATAAGTTCTTAATTAGATTTTTCCCATAGTTTTCTGCTGCCGATTCTTTCTGACCGGTCATTTCATCTTCAATACGGAACCAGAGAAGTGGACAGCTGTTGATAAAAGTTTTCAGAGGACTGTTGGAAATTCTTTTCGTGACGCGTATAGAAGAACTGACCAACTGATATGTATCCATATACATATATATATATATATACATATGTATGGTGATCTCTCTTTCTGTTTGCTCTCTCAGTCTGTGACCATTTCACTTTGATGAACCTATCTCCTTTAACAATGTATATTCCCCTTATATTATATATAATATGAGTGTTTGTTGACAGTCCGTTGCTTGGTGACATATATCCATATATGGTGGTTGTTGACATGTCTGCTATATTTCGATATGTATATATGGATCGATACTTCATTATAATTAGCCATTCATGTTAAGACTGTCTATTAATTTGTTCACACCCTTGTCTGGACATTCATATATATTTCGCTCTCACAAACTTGTGTGACACTTTGGTGTGATACCACTATTGCTTCTCCTTGTGTTTGGAAAATAGAAGTATCATCGCAAACCTAGTGGTCTTCTGATTTCCGCCTTCCTGCTTCAGGACTATTAAATTCTCGACCAGTACATAGCAATAATTTAGCGACGAGTACATAACACCAACCTCACAATTGTGTTGAAATTCCGGATCATTTTCTTTATGTTGGCTTGAATGCAGAAAATTTCCAAACTGATTTCAGATTGATGATGGTGTGCCTTACCTTTCCAATCCCGATTTTGATCCCCTCATCCGTACAGTCACCTGAAGTTGAAACGATGCTTCCTAGATAGACGAAGCAAGTAACCTCTTTCAAACTTCTCTCGTCAAAGCTGATTGGTGCTGGTTGTTGTTGTTGTTGTTGCTGCTGTTGGTTGTTTATCTCCATCACCTTCGTCTTTTTTATATTCACCTGGAGTTCTGTTTTCTCTGGCTGCTTCTTCAGTCAATTTGTTGGTTTTCACCTGCAAGTCTTCGAGTTTTTTTGGACACTAAACATAAGTCATCCAGGCACGAAATTCAAATCTTCTGGAGTTTTCTCGTCAGGGTAACGTATTCCTATCTTCTCTCTCCATACAGTGTGACGCATAATTCAGTCGCTTATAGTAGACAGCCTTGTTTTACCCCATCAATACCCTCGATAGAGTAGCATTTAGATCTGACAACTGAAACCAATCAAAATCTCCAAAAATCTCGTAAACTAAAGAAAAACCACTTCTGTATTTATCCTTTTTTTTCACTTTCTCTTTTTCTCCCTCCCTCCTCCTTCATTTTAGCTCGATAAACGTATTGAAAGCTTACAAGATCTAAAAGTTCGTTGGGATCAACAAAATCTTTGTGAAACTGAATTTTTCAATTGGTTACATCAAAAACGCGCTGAATTCGATCAAATTATTCATCAGACATCTGCAACATCACAACAACAACAACAAATTGATCGACAAACCACCGATCATCATCAGCATTACACTCAATTGTGCAAAGCAATGGATACAGCTCGATTAGATAGTCTACTCAATGAACTAAAAGCTAAAAAGACAATTATTGATCAATTGAAGCGTCAGTCGAAATCACTGATTGCCAATAATAATCGAGTATCACATAATCTTAAATTAATTGAATCAGAATATGTATTATTAATGAATAAAATTCAAGAGAATATTAACAATCGTCGTTTGCTTACAAATCAAGCCCTGGAAGCTACTAGACTAACAGATCGTTTACACTCTGATCTACACGATATTGTTAAACGTTCAACAGGTATTGATACTGTTCAATGTTCAACAGATGTTGAACTGAAAAAAATGGGGGTAAGTATATTCATATGCATGTATATCCTAAGTGTACTTTGTGTTGTGTTGTATTGTGTTTATTTGATATGATTTTTTAAAATGTTATTTATGTGTTGTACTGTATAATTATATAAAAGAAGAGACGTTTGGCCAGGAGTTACTCCCCCTTTTTCCCGGAGATATCATTCTCAAACTGGATTGGCAGAAATTAGAATCCAAGGTCCATTGGATCGAGTCCCAGTGGCTTAATGGTCTACGGGATCGCTAGCCTTGTAACCAGAAGGTCCTGGGTTCGAATCCCGGTGGGTGCGTACTGCTGAAGGGTCCCAAACTAGGACGGAGGAAACAGCTGTCCAGTACTCCCAGGTTTTCCAATGGTTCTCTAACAAATGTCAGCTCATGATGAAATCCTGAAACCAATCAAATCCCTACAAACCAACACTTGGATTATTATAGTTAGTTATTCCCTTAGGTTCTGGGTGGAACATAGGATTTCAGCTGCACACCTGCACTTTGGTCCTATTCTCAGCCATCCTCTTTCACTGACCCCGACGACTGCCCATAATCTCTGATCTCTTTCGTACACAATCTCTTCCATATCACCCCTCGGACCAATGTCTTACTCATCGTTTCTCATTTGGGTCCCACTAAAGCGATGGTGTGGCGCGTGACATCACCCAACGGTCTCCTAAATTTATGTCCGATCCATCTCCACTTTCTTCGGTATATTTTTTGAGCACAATAGGCTTTTGGTGCATTTGTCCCCATACTTTTTTATTTTTAATTCTTTCTGACCGGTTATTTAGAGCAGCTAGCGAAGGGGATAGCTGTTGATAAAAGTCTTCTGTAGCCAGTTGGAGATGCTTTTTGTGATATGAATACCGAGCTTGAGCTTTGATGTGCCAGTGGTGTTTTGTTTTTACGGGATGCGGTTGCTCTAGCCTCGCTTCCCAATCTTCCCTGTTTATCGGACTTACTACTGGCTAAGTAGAGTTTGGCGATACGTCAACCGGGAATCGGACCACGTCCGTGGTGGTAGGCGAGCATTTCCACCTCCGCTGCCGCCGTAGGCTGAGTACTATTTTGGGGAGAAGAGAGGTCTGCTAGCCAAAATTGTAGACAACAATTTACGTCAATGTTTACGTCCCGAATTGGGGTCACGAGATAAAACAGTAACATAGCCTAACCTTGAGGAACCCAACAACCAATCACAGCAGACTTTGCGTGGGCGGATACGATTTGCAGATATATGGCCTGACTTTCGAAGAAACAGCCACAACAAGATGACTGAAGAAAGCAACCAATCAGAATAGGTTGCTTCTCCGCTAACAATAACGCTAGCAATAATACACATAAAAATCTATAAATATCTGTTGATTGTGTCAGTAAACGATCTGTTGCCTGGCCCTTCTGTCTTCTGTCGCTACATTATGATTAACTAAAATCGAAGCAGGATCAAGTTAATGTCACTGTCATAATGGTGAGGTCTAAAACAATCAATAAAAATAATTAAGATTAAAAAACTTTTTGTATTAAACGTGTTGTGACAAATCAAGTCCATAGTAGTAGGTTCATTGATTGAAGAAACAATTCTTTCCTATGCCTGATGTAGGATTTAACGCATGGGTAGGTAGCCATAGCCATAGCTTCTACAATTTGGGGAAGTTTGATTGGCAAGATTTCCGTGTATTCTGTAAATGACTCTGAAATTATTGGTTAGCAAGTTATCTCGGTGTCTAGAGTTGCGATCAGGGGTGCCCAAGGACGGGTGGGGGGAAGGAAATCATTTTTCTCCTTTGTAAAACTTATAAGAGGCGTAAATTTTCAGTGATACGGCCAACATACCTAGCTCTACAGGAGTACATGAATTAATAGATACACGTTAATGAGATCAACAGTGTTAGCTCTTGTTCTTCACGTTCATAGGAATGCTTGGTTTTGTAGAGATGGTAAATCGAAGTTGGTCTGTGAAGAAGGTTTCCTTCAATTGAACTCGACAAGTGGTTTCTTAGTATTTCTGCCTATAACTCACCATTGAATTGCAGATTCAGATAGACAAGTCCTTCAGAAGAAGGAAGTGGTATAGGCTTCATGGATTTTATGATGACGTGTTTGGGCCGTCCATTTCAAATGAGAACCCTTTTTATAGTATATATATATATATATATATATATATATGGAAGCTTCTTGTTAATTTAAACGACATATCTTTGGAAATATTCCTTTCGTTGCCTTATGAAAATGTACTGTATACATACATATATGCGACCGTACAGCTTTAGAATATCACTGAAATGAGTAGTCGGGACCCAAGTGACTGTGTGAGAATGGTCAACGAGATTGGCCTCATAACCTGGAGGTCCTGGTTCCGATCCCTGGTAGGGTTGTCCCAAAATAGGACGAAACAGCTGTCCAGTACTCCTTGTTTCATGAGTCGGCGGTTCAGTTGTAGAGGATTAGTCAACCAAGGAAGTGGCCCGGCGTTCGATCTTCAGCCGCCAACGCATTCCTTTGATCTCTCTTAGTCGGTGGTAGTAAGCTTGGTGAAGAGGGAAGGTTGGACGAGAGGTCAGCAATCTCATCCTGTAAGAAGAAACACAACTACCACTGCTGAAACTTCAAAAGTGTAGCCCTCTGGAAATGCAAAAAATAATAGTGGGGAGTTACTCTTCCGTGAACCCCCTTGCTTGTTTTTTCTAATGACTTAGTGGGGGATGTTTAGGCTTATTGTTGTTATTGTTGTTGTTAGCCCTGTGTGAAATAATCATTATTGATCACTGATTTACTATTGATGTTGTGAAGATTCGTGTAGTCCTCTTTCGTTCTCCTGTCCTTTACAGCTGTTGTTTTCATATATATTGTACATTTACTGTTGTGTTATTCATATTAATTTTTTTGACTGTACCTTTCCTGTTTTATTTGTGTTTTTTCTATTTTCTTCTCTATGTCAACACACACATACATACATACATACATGCACATACATCCATATAAAGTGGGAGCATTCCAATAAACATCAGTACAAAGTTTCTAAACCTCCATCATTTTATGGTCATATTACAAGTAGTAGTTCTAATCAATATGCAGGAATGATCAAACATCATCATGAACGAGCATCAACTCCTATCCCAATGTCAAGTGTACAATTAACAACAACAGCAGCTGTTACTGGTGGTGGTACTATCAGTCAATCTGATTATCATGTCCAGTCTACATCTCATAAACCGTTAGATAATTTAACAACACCAACAGCAACCGCTGCCACTGGAATCGTTACCGATTGGCTATGGTTTTCTCCATCATCTATTCTACCTGATTCATCTGATTTACAACAACAATTACCTATAGATATTAATGAATCCTGGGATATGGATCCTATCCCATCAGACCTATTACCACTACATCATCATCATCATCATCGATGCGATATTGATGACAATAATGAAGTCGAAGTCGAAGGTGAAGGTGGAGGCGGTGGCGGTGGCGGTAATTTAGCCGATAGATCAAGATCATCTTCTCGAGTCTCACTGATCATTCAACGACCATGGAGTGCTTTTAGAAAATTTGATCGAAATGCTGCTAAAAATGCTAAAAGGCGTGGAGAAATCAGTGAATCGGATACAACAACAAGTATATCAAGAGAAGCAGAATTAGGCTATTATAATAAGCACAAACCGAAGAGTATATTCAGTCAACACTTGAAACCGATTAGAACACCATTATTGTTAAGTAGACCTTCAAATTTATGGCGATCTCAGTCGGCAAAAGTTCTGCCACTTGATGAGTCAAATATCGATAAAATGATGACAAGTCAATCCATCTGGAATATTTCAAGCCAAATAGATCCATTGGAAGATTCGCCTTTCTCTGTTGAAAGGTATACATCTCAAAGTCCTATGATTCCAATGTTATTACGTCGTAGTGTATCACCGATAGTGAGTAAAACTTTCGCTAGTCGGGGTGATGGTCATAGAAGACGACAGATACCGTTAGAGTTTGGCACTTCTTCTATAAGGCATAGTGGAATTGTAGATATTCGACCGTTGTCTGCTGTAAGTCGTCATCCCGATGTATCAAGTAGTCCAAATCTGTTTGATGATTATCCTACTGCGGTTGCTTCACACTCACGTAGTAGGGGGGGTATACAACATTCATTCATTCTTGACAAACCTATAGTCGGCACATCACATTCATTTCCGTTCAGACCATCAATGATGACTAGTGCATCACAACAAAATCTACAAGATGCGTTTAGAACACCACAAGCACCAGAACCACCACCTCTTCATTCAATTCGAGTATCAGGACTTAGTGGATATGAATTCCCATCGCCAAGTGTCTCCGAGTATGAAAATGTCTTTTCTTCTGGTCGTCCACAACCAATGGGTGCTTCAATATCAGATAATCTTTTATCCCCGAAAATTAAATCATCAACAAGTGAACAGGCTATTTATGATTTGACACGTCGTAGAGCTACTGAACCACCATTTTATCGTCAAGATAGTATATCATCATTAAGCATGCTTAGAAATCGATATACTGGTGTCATTAGTACTACCACTACCATTCCTACTACAACTAATCAACAGCCCACCACCACCACCTCATCATCAACATTCGATTCTATTCGAGTAGTTCGCCCACAGACTATAGCACAATTAGCAGTTCAACGTTATCGTAATCAACAGCTGCAACAAGAACGCCTCCATCGACAACGTCAACAACAACAGCAACAACGTCAAACACCTGGAGAACAACGACAATTTTTCAAGTGGAAACGTTGAATAACGGGGTTCCAGTGTGAGATGATCTCCCAGGACACATCAGCAGCAGCATCGCCAACAGCATTAATGTAGTCATTGTCAATATTACCATCCTCATGATCATGATCGTTATCATCATTTGTTTTCTAATGATCTCTAATTGATCTCAATAAAATACAATTATGTATAAATATAAATGAACGATTGCCAAGAATAGTATTCACAATAATTCCTCTTGTATTTTAATCTGCCTAA